AACCCTTATAGTTTCCGAGATATTAAGGGTTGAAGTTTGGAAACGAGTTCGAAGTGCTAGAGATAGCAGAAATATCGTTCATCGATGCTATATTTACATGTGGTACTCAATTTGCTCCTTACCTCTTCGCCCTTATGCGTTCCTGACTGAAATCGACGATTTTTGACCAGTTTTAAAAATTTTCGTGCACTCTTTGACAAAAATTGAATTTCTCGATTTAGTATCAGGAGTGCATAAGAGCGACTAGGTAAAAATATTGCTATTTAATTTACTTCTCAACTCTTCACGCTTATGTGCTCCTGATAGAAATCAGCGATTTTGGACAAAGATTAAAAATGTTCGTTTAATTTTTGTTAAAAGCTGTATTTTCTCGGATTTGTATCAGGAGTACATAAGTGCGAAGAGGTAATCGTTAGTATTATTTTTATATAAAAATACCGGTCTATTCCAGAACAACCTCTAAAGTTTTTTATTATTAGAATATATTATTTTTGTGATAATTAAATTACTTTTTCTTTTTGTTCAGGATTAGACAGTATTTCTATGTACATTTTGGTTCAATAAAACTCATTTATATTTAATTATTATTTATTAACATACATTTTATTAACAAGAGTAATATAAAAAGTTTATTAAAATCCAAGATGTTGATGGACACGGCTGATGTCTATGTTGAGGGAAATACATCTTCTGGGTACCTTTCTGAAAACTCTTGGTTCTGTAATAAAAATACCGTTTGATCGAAAAAAAAAAACGGCGTCAGCGATGGCTATGAAATGAAGATGTCATTTTATATATAAAATTATATGGGGAATGTCACCAACCGTCATTTCTAAGCCAACTGAAAGTAACTTTATTTCGATCATACGGTATTATAAGATATATTGGAATCTTCATAACATAAAAATCTTTTTTTAACAGTAATACAAGGAAAAAACACGGTTAAATTAGGTGTACCGTATGATCGAAAAAAAAACGGCGTCAACGATGGCTACGAAATGAAGATCGCTGTCATTTTAATGTAAATTTGTATGGGAAATGTCATCGATCGTCATTTCCCAGCCAACTGGACGCCGTTTATTTTTGTTAATACGGTATTTCTAATTGAAAAATATGTTAATTGTACCCGTGCTTATACCGTACGATCGAAAAAACACGGCGGCAGCGATGGCTATGAAATGAAGATCATGTCATTTTATATTTAAATTTATATGGGAAATGTCATCAATAGTCATTTCCCAGAGATATAGACTAAGTTTATATATCTGTCATTTCCCAGCCAACTGGACGCCATTTTGTTTCAACCATACGGTATATTCTAAGGATTGTACTAAAATTAAAAGTGTTAATAATTAAAAAATAAAAATTCACTCTTAACTTAGTTGCTTAAAAATAAAAATTATATAAATTCTTGATGTATTTTTTAGTTGCCTATACTATAGTAAATTGTGCGCCCAAAGTGTTTTATATGAAATTATTGATAAATAACTACATTATTTTACAAAATACCATAACAAATAACATTACGTATTTAATAAACATATTCGAATTAAAAAATACACCTTTTAATTAATTTATCTAAAACTATTTAGCTTCCTCTTCAATGATGAATTTCATTCTCAATTGACTGTTGAATTTAATCAACCTAATGGCATCTTGAAGAGGGTGGCTGCAATGAAGTGCAGTTGTCCCAAAAAATCCTTGTTCCAAAGCAGTACAATATCCCATTAAAACGCTCAATTTTATGTAGAAATCAATAGAAATGAAACAAAGACTTGGAAGAGTTTGTTAGAAATGTTTGGAGAAATACCAGTAATATAAACAATAAAACAAATAAGAGATTGATAATTACAACCAACATGTAAGACAAATAATAAATTATACTAATTAATAATTAAGTTTTACTCTGTATGGTATGATAAATTGAAAAAAAAATATGATTCCAGAATTACAACTCTATAGTGAAAATAGAAATAAAATACCTTAGAGATAACTTGACACAAAATTATACAATACAAAAAAAAGAGTACAAGTAAATGATGACAGGTAATTCAGTAATACATAGAATAATAGATTTCATACAATGAATATAATATAGGAGACAAATAAAGAAATAGAGATACAAGGAATTAAAAAAATTGCATGAAAATGAGTGATAAAGTCTCAGAAGAATGACACAAAAAATTATAGAATTATTTTGGATACAATAGTTGGAAATCGTTAATAATAAAATAATAAATAAATTTTAGTTTGGACAAATAGTTGGAAAAAATGGAAAAAGCTATAATTCTATACAGGCAATAGATTGATGAAATATGTATTAGAAAACAATCAGAAGAATGACAAAAATATGTAAATGTTTAAGACAATCACTGAAAGAATTTATAGAGTTGACAATGATGATATTCCAATAGTAAAAAAAATATGACAGATAAAAAAAAATGAGAGGTAGGCCAAAATGCAAAATGGGAAAGAAGTTTTAAGTATTAAAAACAAATAGAGATATCTGGTCAATAGAGCAGGAAAATTGATTTCCTGATTCATTATTGGTAATATTCATCAAAAGGATAAATGTACTGCCCCAGAACTGCATACATCCACTGATTTGTTGTACAAAATCTGTAAAAAAAGAAATAAATAGTATTACATTTCATTAATTACGCTACGTTTTATTTATTTTTTTTTTTCGTTTAATATTAATATTAAATAATACTTAAAATATGGTTAGTCATTAATAAACATTTAAGGAATTTATTAAAATTATTTTTAAATTATATATTAAACTTACTTTCAATCATATATAATAGAAAACCAATCTAAGTAAATCAGAATGATGGCCAAACATCTGGATTAGATAAAGGGTAACCTAGGTATCTCCTTTTAGGTGGTATTTATCGGTGTGGTATGGTGTATTAATAACGCTCCTAAAAAATAAAGAATTATATTAATTATATTAAAATAATACAAATTTATCTAAAATATGATGGCAGTGTGGCAGTATATAGTAAACATGTGAAGTGTAAACGTTTTTTTTATTATCTGAAAATATTATATAATTATTAGGAATGGCGGCCTCTTTAGGTATACTAACGTTGAATTATTCTAAACAACGTAGCATTAGGAATGCAAAACATATTTAAACTATACCAAAGAAAAATTTGACCAAAAATATCCAATGTCTCTAAAATAAGCGATACTCAGGGTAACTAAATGTTTAACGTACAACAGAGACATTAAAGAAAGTATATATATTTCCATATACTCAATTTAGAAAAAGAAAATCATGAAAATATGAAAATATATAAGCTTTTAAAGATGATGTAACTGAAATATTTGAAAGGGAAAAGAACTATAGAAAATAATGAGCACTTACATTTTCAGGAGGTGTAACAAGGCTTAAGGAACAACATAAACTAATATAATGCACAGAAAAACCACTTGTTCCACAGAAAATCAGAAAATTCGAAAATTGTAAGAGCCAGGACATGCTGCGAGTACAACGGAAAATGACACACTGTCAATGTTGTCAGTTTGAACACATGTAAATAACAAGGTGATAATTTTTAATGTAAAAATAATGCTGTGCCAAGCTGTGTCTAAAAATACTATTTATTCTACTGAAACAATATTTGTATTATATTTTTAATGGATTTATCATATATTAGTAACGGTTCAATTCGTTTTATACCTACAAATATATTGATTTAAATTAGTTTCAGGACTTTTTAATATCTTGGCAACACAGACGTGAAAATCAAATGACAATTCAGAACTAACCAATCACAATTATTACTAATGTTTGTATTACTGGTTGCACGTCGCATGTAAATTTAGTTTTAAAATTATTTTATAATATTTTATTTTTTTAGAATTTAAGTTAAAAATTTCACTGTGTTTTGATATGACTGAAGTATTCAAAAAGGCTGAATATATTCGCATATTCAAATTTTTAATAAAGCGCGGTTAACTGTTTACAGCGCCAGTTTATCCTTGTGGAATATTTTGGAACTAAAATCGCTTATGGCGCCATCGAGCGGACAAAGGTTAAACTTCGTCACAATATTACAGATATCTATTTTCTGGAGGCAATGACACCTATTCACCAGTAGTTAAACTTCCACATTAATCTATAAGTAATTTCAAGAAATCTGTAATTTGAAGGGCCGAAAAGGTGATGAAATAGCGCCATCTCTGATGAATATTTGACATTTTTTAAAATTTTAACCTAAGAAAATTTTTTTTCAAACGTTCTTATTTAAATTTGAATAATCTAAATATATTTGGGAAAAAAGGTATATATTAAAATAATGATATATAAGTTTTAAAAGTTTGTATAGTAGTTCATCAAAAATAATTAACACGAATTGTATTTTGTACTGTTAGGAATTTAGCACAGAAGGAATTTAGGGAAGTATATGTTTAATGCATGTAATTTGTACATACTCTTCTGCAAAATATCCTTTGGCATTGTGATAGTAGATTAAATATAATTCAGTTAATAATACCTTAATTTTTAATATTTCGTAATTATTAATTGAAACTGAATGTAAATAAACAGATGTTTACTATACAAACTATTACATATTTTTAAATAAACTTATTACTTACTTTAAGATTTCTGCTTATTTTATTTAAGAATTTCTCGACTGAAAACTCTTCAGTTGATTGATTACATCTGATTACATGTTGTTTCAGGGATGTTTCTAGTTTCTAGCTATAAAAATATTTTGCTAGAGTAATTGTAATGCAGAGCCTTGAAATACTTGCCATTAAGGGTGTTAATAAGTTATTACTTCGATATTTAAATGAAATAGGAATAAAATTCAGGAATAGCAAATACAAACAATAAATTTTTTTTAATTTTATTCAAAACAAAACAAAAACGGATCCATAATTGACATTTCCCCCTCTATTATAGGCAACTCAATATACGCAAAAAAAATATTGATTTAAAAAAATCAAAATATTGTGGCTAAAGTTAGGAATATCTAGATATCGTTTTATATTTACCATAACAAGTAAACTTTTACACCTTATACTATGATAATTTGACTATTATTTCAGCAATCCACCAACCAGCTGTAGATTTTTTTTCAAAGAAATCTTAACCAAAACAATAATTACTATAACGAGCAATGAATTATTCACATTCAAGTTAGTTTGTGGGGTTTGTGGTATTATAAAAATTATATTGTTAATAATAGTCTTGTTTATATATTCTTAGATATACAAGGATGATAGAATGTGAAAATATTATATTTTTGTTATATTTTATTAACTTTTTTTATTAATTTACATTTAAAAATATTGTGCTATCTTTTATTTAAAAAATGTTTAGGTACATCAAAAAATTTTTATTCGTCAAATTTATACTGACCAGTATATAAATAAAAATGTCAAAAATTGCAAGTCATTTAAATCAAAATAAACCTTTTTTTAATCTAGCATTTTACAGGTAAGGAAATTTTTCTCTGATACTTCCACATCTTTAGTGAAAGTAAATCGAACAGAAATACACATAGATATATAATAAATACTCCGAAAATAGGTTACAGTTAATGACTAGGGAGTCAGTAAGTTTATTAATTTAATATTTTGATTATAAAGCATATTTTATGAAAAAAAAATATATTAGTGTTCGAGATAAAAAAATATGTTTTTATAATGACAAGTTATTTTCTTTAACAGTAAACAACTCGAAATAAAAATACTCTAGGTACTGTTTTCTGTATAAAAAGATATTTTAATATCATCTTGCATTCACAAAGATAAAAACAAATATTTATTCACTTTTATCGCTGCCAACATATTTAAATAAATCTCAAGTTTTAAGCACTTTCGTTTCTGCTTCGTATCATCTCGACCCTTTTTTTTTCAGTACGAAATATAAAAATATGGAACCAATATTACTGATTCATGGTGGAGCTGGGGATATACCTGATTCCAGGGTAAATCCTAAACATGCTGGCATCAAAAATTCAGTAACAGCTGGATTTAAGATACTGAAAGATGGAGGTACCGCACTGGATGCTGTGGAAGAAGCTGTTAGGGTTATGGAACTAAATGAAGCATTCAATTGTGGTAATTTTTTGCTAGTATAAAACTTGTACATACGTATACAGGGTGTTCCTTAATGACTTGCTAATATTTAAGGACCATATTTAAGAGAAAAGACTAGCATGTCATCAAGGAACACCCTGTATGTAAATCAATACCAAATAAACTTTTTTCATATAATTTTTACTTATTACCGTTTCCATATAAGTTTTTTTTTGTTATACCGAGTGTTTTTTAAATAAGTGCATCTACTTTAACCCTTAATCGCTACACTGAATAATTCTCCTTTAATCACTCTACAGACTGGCCTGGTATACAGGGTGTCCCAGAAATAACTGCAAGTATTTTAAGGGGTGATAGATCTATAGATAAAAGAAACATATTTTCTCTTTATCGTTTAAAAATTTCCCAAAAAAATATTTTTTGCTAAAATTTTGAGAACCGCTGGATCTTTTCTGGATTTTCTTTCTTGCAAATTTAATCTACTACCGATGTTGCCATATTAACAAAAAATTCTGTTTTTAGCTAAAAAGATTTCCAAAAAATTTTTCAAAAAATTTCGAATTTTCAAATTTTTTTTTTCGTGAAATAAAACCTCATAGGCGTGTTTCTGGGGTTGAACTATAACCAACTCACATAATTTAAAAAATAGTTCAATATAAAAAACATACCGTATGACCGAAAAAAAAACAACGTCCACTTGGCTTGGAAATGACGATCGATGACATTCCCCATATAATTTTACATATAAAATGACAGCGATTTTCATTTCATAGCCATCGCTGACGCCGTTTTTTTTTCGATCATACGGTACGTAACGTAATAATTATATTTGTTAGGTTATGGATCAGAGAACCGCTGGATCTTTTCTGAATTTTCTTTCTTGTAAATCTAATCTACTACCTATGTTGCCATATTAACAAGAAATTTTTTTTTTTAAAAAAATTAAAGACTAAAAAATTTCCAAAAAATTTTTCGTAACATTTCAATTTTTTTCGTGAAATAAAACCTGAGTAGGCGTGAATTTGGGCTGAACTATAACCAACTCCTTGGCCATAATTTTAAAAAATCAAGTCTTCTGTTATATTTTCAAAAAAAAAAACATTTTCTTAGTAGATATCGATTTCAGGTAATGAAAGTGCTTAATAGAACAAAAAATTAAACAAAATTGTTGGTTTATAATACAAAATACTTGAAACAGTGGAGAAAAATATAAAATTGTGTTTTGACCCATCCTGTACATACCAAATAACTTTATTAGTAGGCTATGTATTTAATATTTTGATGTATTTATTTACATATAAAAATATTAGACTGACACAAACATTTAATTAAAAGACAATAAACGAATTTATTTTTATTTCCTGTAAACATATAAGTGGTAAAAAATAGTTTTTAAAAAAATAGGACTGAAATCTAGTGTGCATTGTTTTGTTGTGTGATGTCAAAATTGTAGTTACCTTCCTCTATTGTATCTTCCAGTTTCTTTTTGCAATTGAAATAGACAAAATCGTCAGACATGACACCTTGGAATACTGAAACAACCTCTAGTCGAGCGTTTAGGAAATACAAGGGTTGTTTTCTCGAAGAAAACTCGCTAATGAGGGCAGCTATACCTTTTGCAGCTGTGAAATCAGCTCCTGAAATAATTATTATTGCTATATAATCCTACTAAAACACTAATAAACAAAGTTTTAATCAAGGAAAAACCATTTTACCTAAAATAAACTGACAATCGACGACAACTGGCAAATTTTTCGACGATGTTCCTGCTCTGGCAACGCTGGTTTTGATAAAATCCATTGCGGGGAAGTACAGAGCGTTTCCGGGGGTGACTAGAATGTATTCTTTGCCAGAAGGTGTCTGGAATGAAGAGAATAACTATAAAAATGATGACTAAAATGAAAAATATTTAGTATAATATTGTAAGAATAAACTGTTCTATACAGGATGTCTCTTAAATAAGTGCTAAGTTAAATAATCAAAAAAAAAGTAGGTGAAAATATCGTTCAAAATTAACCTTACATAGACAAATACACATAAGAATATTGATAAAAATACTGAAAATTTGTAATATTCATATTTACCATGCATTTCTCCATATGTACTCCAGGCCTGGCCGAAGGATACAACAAAAACATGATATTAATAGCAACGCCGATCAGAATTCCGTATTCTACGCCAATGACCAGACAGAACACGAACGTCGCAATGGCGGAAAGTAGGTCTTTTTTGCTCGATCGCCACATCGGTTTGATCACCTCGTATTCTATCATGAAAATGACAGCGCAAACCACCACAGCGCCCAGGGATGCTTTGGGGATGTAGGCAAAGTAGGGCGTGAGAAATCCCAACGCCAATAGTACCATTATACCTGAAACAACAAGAAATGTATTTTTGAGAACTTTTTGGCGCACCCTGTATGATAATACATAATCATAGGCGTGCCTTGGGGTCATACTACCAGTTAAAATATTTGAACTTACTGAGAGAATATTTGTACTGCAAAATAAACACATTTTACCTGTTATAATGCCACCAAACGGTGTTTGTACGCCACTGGCGTGATTGACAGCTGATCTAGAGAACGAACCAGTGACGGGCATGGAAGAAAAAAAGGATCCTAGTACGTTGCACAGGGACAGAGTGAATAATTCTTGTGTGGCGTCAATAATTTCTCCACTAGCTAAAAAACAAGTAAAAATATTAGTAAATTTATCTATTATTTTTAATTTTAGTATTAAATTCTAATAATTCTATCTCATAACTGTTTTTGGGGGAGAATTTTATACCTAGGTTTAAAGAAATCTATACTAATATATAAAATCCTTAAGGTGCGTATTCATTATCCGCACGAACGAACGAACGAACGAACGAATGTTCGCTAGTGGTATGGACGGGGACCGCACGATAGGACTGCACGAGAAGACCGGAGGCATTTGTTGGCGAACGCCTTTGATGTACCGACTCGAAACGGATGGTCGAGCGAACGAACGAACGAACGGCCGCATGCGTCCGGTCCCCGTCTAAATATACCGCACTTTCATTCGTTCGTTCGTTCGTTCGTTCGGATCATGAATACGCACCTTTAAGTGACTGACATACTGATTAATCACGATCCTGCTCAAACCACTCAACGTAAGAAGCTCAATTTTGGCATACAGGTTGATTCTAGGGTGTAGAGGTTCGATAAGAAGGGATTTTTCGAAATTCCAGTTCCAAGACGGTGAAAATATTACAATATTTTTTATTTAAAAAACGGTCAAGTTTCCGAAAAAACGCTTAAACACGTATATTTTATTTTGTTTTTTTACATATTTTAAGATTTTTTAAAAATGTATACAGGGTGTTTCGAAAAATCTGGTCATTGATTAATCAGGATCCTGCTTAAAGCGCTTGACGTAAAAAGCTGATTTTTGGAAAACAGATTGACTTTAGGGTGTAGAGCAGGCGGATGAAACTGCCATTTGAATTTTGGAAACACGGCGGAGTTTCTGCCAGTAGAGGGATAGATGGCGCTGCGTAGAAATTTCATCTAAAGTCCCTAGATATTCATCTAGGGACTTTAATTTCATCATGATTTTATCAAGTCATCCACAGAGTATAGTTTAATTAACAATTCGTTTGATTCTCTGTTGAGTAATTGGAGTAGTTGGAGTAGTTGAAAAATATAAATATTTATATAAAATGTTGATAATTTAACAGTGATGTGCTTTGTTACTCTATGAATAAATATTGGTATGAATGTGTTATATGTAATTTTAACAATGTTATAATAAAATAATCAAGTTACAGATTTTTCGTGTTTTATTCTAATTTCAGGCGTGTTTTATTCCAATTTCAATTTTTTTATCATAATTTCAACCTAGATTATTAATTTATTTGTATCAAAATACATTATTTTTATTTTGTAAAGTGTTTTGTTACAAATAAATTCATAATCTAGATTGAAATTACCAAATATAAGTAAAAAACTTATGCACTGGCAGTAAAGGTCCATTTAAAAATATGGCGCGAACTTTTAGTTCTGCCAGTAGCCCGCTTGGATCGCGTCGAGCGCGTGTTTCCAGGCTTTAACATAGGAGTTTTCATTTCTTTCAGTTAGTTATTCTAGGGTGTAGAGGTTCGATAAAAAGGGACTTTTCGAAACTCGAATTCTAAGGGGTGAAACTATCATCCCTCAAATATTAAAATATTTTTTTTAAAAACCGGTGAGTTTTTCGGAAAAACTCTTAAAACGCGTATATTTTATTTTGTTGTTTTACATATTTTAAGATTTTTATAAATTTATACAGGGTGTTTCATAAAATATGAGGGTGAAAACACCCTCAAATATTACAATATTTGTTATTTAAAAAACAGTCTTTCAGGGAAAACGTTTGGACAAGCATAATTTATTTGGTTTTTTACATATTTTGAAATTTTTTAAAAAATCGTACAGGGTGTTCCAAAAAGTTGGGTAATTTCTTAACCACGATTCTGCTTAAACCGCTTGACGTAAAAAGTTTATTTTTCGCAAACGGATTTTTCGAAAGTCAAATTCTAACGAGATGAAACTACCCCTCAAATATTACCAAGTTATATAATAATATCGCCATATTGTTTTTTCTCATGCTGACATAAATGTGAGAAAATTTTATCCAGTTTGTATGTTAATGGAAATTCTTGCTTTGCTTTATCATCACCATTTCAAATGATTAATTTGACGCGAACGAAGTCGCTGGTACACGCTAGTAATCTGTATAATTTTTAACCAGCTATTGTACTAAATTTTTAGTTTGGCAAAAACTGTGGTAATTGTGTGTTTTAGGTACTAGAAATGATTTTATACTTCGGATATCTCGAAGATTGACGACGATACCCGAAGAGACACTCTCGGTTTCAAAGCAATTAAACCCACTTAAAAGACACATTTACCGTTAATTTTTTTATATCATCGACGACATTTTCTAGTACTTCAACTCACCAAAAGCCTTAGCAATCGCCACATTTCCCAACACAGCAATGATAGGTACCAAAAATACTGAACTTCCCAGGTCCGACAGCATTTCGGGAAATTCCCTGGTGCTGTTGTTAATAACGGTACTAAACGGTGGTACTTTGAACTCTGGAAGACCGGATTTTACGTCACCGGTCAGCCTAAACGGTGATCCAGACCCGTTGGATTCGTACAAAAACGCCATGGTACTGCAAAGGATCACTACAATCGCGTTCCTGGAAGTCGATATTAACCACAGAATATAGTTGAAACAGCTTTGGTGTTTGTTGGGTTTGGAGTTTTTTTTGTGCACTTTCACGTCTTTGAGTTTCTAAAAAAAAGAAACGTTATATACAGGGTGTGAAAAAAAAATCAAAATGGAAATAAGGATATAAAAATAAATTCCAACTTACCCTTAATAATAAAAGGGCTACTATACAACTGAGTCCCAAACATGTGTCTTGGTACCTTGTGAGATGGATGTTATGAAATAGTTTGGTCATTGTATCGAAAAACCCATTTGAGGATTGTTTAATTCCTAAAAAAACACAATTATACAAATAAATCACATTTTTTGAATAAAAATACAAAGACAGTATGCACAGAAATAAGGATCCCGCTCTTTCAAGCTCTTTTATCTCTTAATAATACAATTTTTCAATTATCTATTACCCTGATTGTCTAAACAATCATTTATTTATATATAAATTTAGTTTAAAACACCTTTTAATTATCTTAAAAATCTAAAAACAGTATGCACAGAAATAAGGGTCCTATTTTTTTTTCGTTTTTTTTCATACTAATATATACATGGCTAGATCTGATAAAATCAGTTTTTTTAAATTAAAATCGTTATATTTACCCAATAGACTGGCAAATTGTGAACTGCCAATTATGACAGATGTGGCAGAAGTGAAGCCTACAGTGACGGGGATTGATATAAAGTCCACTAATACTCCTAAAAGAAAAAAATATATATTTCATAAGTAGTATTCTATAATTTCCGGAAAATGTTTCATCCCTATAAATATAACACCCCATATATCCAACTTTTTGGCAATATGGTAACATATATACAGTTAGAAATCAAATATTTCTGTTTAATTAATACTATTTAAAAAAAAAACTTTTTTAATTACCAGAATTATTTAATACTTTACTATCAGAATATAAACGAAAATAAAATAAAAAAGTCTTTGACCTGACCCGGATTTGAACTCCGAATCTTCGGTTCGTGGTCGGAAATTGTACGCACTGCGCTATGGAGACATGTTCGATTTATATTCAATACTAGAATTTATAGGACTAAATTAATAAAAAATATAGGATCTTCTTCCGATGCGCAGTAGTAAACGCAACGGGTATCGGCAGCCAGACGGGCCGCATGCTGTTCCAGAGAGCATAGTAAAAGATGTATCAAAGAGCCAGACGTCTTAAAATATTTTCTCGAAAACGTTGCTAGCTCCTATACTATTACATCTATTTAAAGATATATACATATTTGTCTTACCCAAGTGTAAAATTGACATTACTAGTTGTACAATCCCCGATAAGAAACAAAGCAATATGGCATAGTCGCTGTTTCTTCCTACTATTTGCTGATACGTCATCAAAGCCATCAGTGCTGTAGGACCAATGGTAATGTCCTTAATACTGCCAAAAATTGTGTAGACAAAACAGCCAGCAAAAGCTGAATATAAGCCATACTGTAAATTAAAAAAAAAACGTTTTTTTACCTTTATAGCACACGATCGAGAAAAAAACGGCGTCAAAGAGGGCTGGGGAATGACAATCCATGATAATATTGGCGAGGTCAAGCTCTAGACGTCATTTAGTTAGCCAATCTTTTTTGATTTTGTCTATAATTTTTTTAGTGTTAGTTTTTTAATGTCATTTTAGTAAATGACATCTAGAGATTGGACTCCCCAAAATTATCATCGTTTGTCACTCCCCAGCCGTCTTTGACGCCGTTTTTCTTTCGATCGTACGGTAGATAAATTATATGCAGAGTGTCTCTAAGTGTTTTTTTTTTCATATTTCTTGGAAAATGTCATGAAAAATATAAAACTTAACAAAAAACCTAAAGGACTTGTTTCTGGTGTGGAAATACCAGTTTAAATACTTGAGCCCATATTTTTAACAGACATCCTGTATACAGGGTATTTTCTAAATTAGATAAAACATATACCCAGATCATTAAAAAAATATTTTCAGGAAATGAGTAAATTTTAAGGTACAGAAAAAGTTCTATAAGTTTATAAACCCTTCTCAAATTCAATTTTTTTAATATCCCTGTATATCAGACAGATTTTATTTAAATTTGAACCATCCTGTAACTCAAAATATACCCGTAAACCTGTCAAGCATTTTTAAAAACTTTTTTTTCTTATTCAAAAAACTAAAATACAAAAAATTAATTTTGAAGCACCCTGTATTATAATATTTACTTGTGGTTCCAATCCTCCTAGAGTTGCATAGGCCAAAGCTTGGGGCATAACAGTGAGACCTACTGTAAAACCCGCTATACAGTCACACAATAACTTTTTCGAATCATATTTTGCTCCCCACTGTAGTATGGGAATTTTTTTTAAGAAAAATTTCTTCACGTGCCTTGAAGTAGGCATTTTGAGTTTTTTCCTAAATGAGCTGGAAAAATTAAATAATAATTAAAAAATAATAATTTAAAAAAATATTTTAAATATATTTTCTGTTACCTTAACATGTTGAAAAACTATTTAAAATTAAAAATAACTTTTTTGAAAAAATGTAGTTATTAAGTTTATTGTAAATAAGACTGGATAATAATTTTTATAGTTATTTTAAAAAGTATTTATAGAGATTTTTGTTAACTTAACATCTCGAAAAACTATTAAAGATTAAAAAGAACACTCCAAACATTGTGATATTTTAATTTGTTGCAAATTAGACTAGTTAAAGTTAATCTTTTGCAGATTTTAATATTTTTATAAGTTATAATTTCTTTACTAAATCCCGGAGATAAGCACTTTATAGTAGACAAACCATAACTCAGTGATAATTAAGCATAATTTATTTATTTATTTAATCTAGAAAACTGTATGCTCTGCGATTATACAGAGGTTATAAAAAACGGAACACCAAGGAAGGTGTATATTTACTTACCTGACTGGCAAAAATTTCTTTATTGGATGGATCTATCTCATATTGGCAAGGAGAAAGTCATCTCCCTGTATTTATGTGCGAGGAGGATTCAACACTGGGCGTTCTAGCTTAAAGACAGAAGAAAGACGAATAATAAAAATGGTGGTACCGGTGGTACTGATTACAGAATATAGTAGGTACGAAGAGAAATTACCCAATTTGAATATTTAACACGATCTATTCAAAATTATTGATGGTATCTATTATATATTTGAGACGATACAATTTGTTTGAACGTTTGAATTATTGAAATGATTCATTATTTGTGCCAAAAGATTACTAAATTTGTGTTTGCCACTTTTTTCCAAGATTTTTATCGGTTAGATTAAATAAATATTAAACCCTTATAAATGCACACATTATAAGTGCACTGTTTAAAAATGCCAAATATTGAAATTTACTTAATTTTATAAAATTTTGTTTTGGAGACATTCAAATAATAAAAAAACTTCTAGAAATTTGGCTATAATACAGGGTGCACCGATAGTGCGTCGGGCACCTGTAGCTCCTAGAATAAGAAAAAAAACGGGAATTTTGTTTAATGCAAACCTAAAGTATGTACGAGGAAGTATTTCAGGAAAATATTTTAACTTCTATAGGGTGGCTCAAAAAAGTGTGAGTGGATCGGGATGAATTTTTTTTTAAAAGGAACGCCCTGTATATTATTGCATTTTTGGTTTCCTTTTAGATCACTTTACATAATCCTAAGATATGAGTAAATATATTTCGATAGTTTCACAGATGTTAATAAATAAATAAAAAATAGGGTAGCTTCAAAACAATGCGAAAAAACTTCAGGTGATTCCTCGTTCAAAATAAAGTAGTTTGCTTTATAAACGTTGTCAAAAGTCAACCATTAAGGGAGATATCGCGGTACATGAAGATGGCGGAAAAATAACGTTTAATTTTTATCTTGAAAACGAAAAGAGATAGACTTAATGAAATTTACGGAAGACACTGTTATGAAAACATTTCCTGGTATTTTTTCACTTTTAAATGAGTGGAAGGGGTTGAAACAAACTACCCCTATCATTCTGTTAATGAAATTTAAAGAAAATCTTATCAAACACATGCAAAAAAAAAAATAATTTTGATAGTTTAGTTTGTTTAGAAACTTTTTTATCTCTTGTGTTTTTTGATAAAACTCACCGATTTGAAATTAAAAAATAAAATGTACATTACATGTCAGGACAAAAAACATTTTTAGATAATCTAGTGGGCAGCTGTATTTTTTTAGGAAAAATCTAGTCGGCCGCTGTCACTTTTAGGATGTTTCTAATATTGTTTTATTTGACATTACCCTACTGCAATACGTTATTATCTAGATTATTATTATTATCATTATTATCACTAGATTCTTAATCTAAAAATATTTTTAGTCCTGACATGTAATGCTTTACATTTTATTTTTTAATTTCAAATCGGTGAGTTTTATAAAAAAAAAATACAAGAGATAAAAAAGTTTCTAAACAAACTAAACTATCCAAATTAATTTTTTTGCATGTGTTTGATAAGATTTTTCTTTAAATTTCGTTAACAAGAATGATAGGGATAGTTTATTTCAACCCCTTCCACTCATTTTAAAAAAGTGAAAAAATTACCAAAAAGTGTGTTTTCATAACAGTAATGCTTCCATAAAATTTCATTAGTCTATCTCTTTTCGTTTTCAAGATAAAAAATAAGAACATTATTTTTCCGCCATCTTTGTACCGCGATATCTCCCTAATGGTTGACTTTTGACCCAACGTTTATGAAGCAAACTACCCTTTATTTTGATCAAGGAATCACCCTCTGAAGTTTTTCGCATTTGTTTTGAAACACCCTGTATACAGACCGGACCACCGTAGTAGTAACATAGGCAGAACCGGACGAATTAGCGTATACCCGTCCGCCGCGCCGGATAAAAAGCAGACGAAAAAATGCGATAAAATAAAAATAGGTAGATATGTGATAAGAATGTTTCAGAATTTGTATTTATTCGTGTTTTAATAGCCTAAACGAATACATAGATTCTCGCGACAGTTCTCGTGTAAACTTTATTTTTTAAGTAAAATAATGGATGTTTACGAAGTTCGTGAGAAAATTCAAATTGTAAAATGGTATTTCCAAAATAGGTCTTATCGGAATATGTAAACAATTTTTCCACAAACTTTTGTAAACAGGCCAATCCCATCTTTACCTACTGTATCAAGAGTTATTAATAATTTTGAAACACATGAGTGCGTGTTCCCACAAAAACACAAAAAGCCTGATGTGTTGATTAATGAAGAACAGGAGTTAAAGCAAGTGTTCATTTGTGCTATCGCGGATCAAAATCCCACGTTTTCAAGTAATCAAATTGCTGAGGTGGTTGTCCTGCCCACAATGCCCGTATTGTTCAAGAATATCTGAACAATACTTTTCCCAACCGTTTAATTAGTAGATATGGAACTATTTTGTGGCCCGCTAGATCACCACATCTTTCTCCCAATGACTTATTTTTGTGGGGTTATGTAAAATCCAAAGTGTATGGTCATAATAAGGCTAATAACCTGGAGGAGCTTCAAGTAAAAATAAGAGAGGCTTTCCAAACTATTAGCCCTAATATGTTATCCAATGTCAGACGATTTATTTATTTAGTTTTGGTTTGTAAACACACTCAAATAATAAATATTTAAGTATTTTCATTGTAAATATTACCTTAAGTGAAGGTAAACATTTAAAATGAAAATAATAAATACTATTCCTAGTCTGTCACGACCGACCCGCCGACTAGCCGGCAATCTCGAGTACGAACGCAAAACGGGTAAACGTAAATTCGTCCGGCAACTTGCAATGTTACTACTTCTCTGTATATTTGAGCCTTTCTTAAAAAAATATTAAAAATACAAGAACTGTCCCTGAAATCAAAACTATATTAGGCTTTTACTTTTACTTATTATACAGGTTGTTCAAAATTCTACATCAAACTTTCTAAAATATAGAATAATATTTCTTCGTTTTTTTAAATGGGACACCCTGTATATTGTTTTTTCGATAGATGGAGAATTAAATAATGAAAATTTTTTGTATTTAGAGTATTTCAAAATTTTTAACGGTTTCGCAAATATATTCGGTTTTATATTTCATGTGGCATTTTCCACAGTACCCCATGAATTTTCTCTCGTGTTTTACCGTTGAAAGAGCCATATGAAATAATACTGTGTGTATCTGCAAAACAAGTAAAAATTTTGTAATACTTTAAATACAAAAAATGTTCCATTTTTAATTTTCCATCTAATAAAAAAATAATACTTATATAATATGCTCCGTTTAAAAAAAAAAGAAATATTATTTTATATTTTCGAAAGTTTGGCGTAGAATTTTAAACACCCTGTATGATTTAAGATTACGATATTTATAGCAAAGTTGTGTTTAGGACAGTTCTTGTATTTTTAATAATGTTTTTAAGGAAGATTAAAAATATCTATTTTTTATTTATTTACTAATATCTCTAAAATTATCGAAATATATTTACTCATATCTTAGGATTGCGTAAAATGATCTGAGAGGAAGCCAAAAATGCAATAATATACAGGGTGTGCCATTTAAAAAAATCATCCCCATCCACTCACTTTCTTGAGCCATTCTATAGAAGTAAAAAAAATATCTTCCTGAAATACATCCTCGTACATACTTTAAGCCGGCACTTAAACAAAATTCCCAAGTCTTTTTTAGAAGCTACAAATGCCCGACGCACTAGTGCCGTGCCCTGTATATTATACGGACTACTGGCGGACTGAACACTTTTCAACTATTTGACTGTCTAATTACGACTGATTCATTACAATTGATTTTGCTCTCGTAAAAGCTCTTTTAAGGAAAAATCACATAAATTTTAAACCATTAATAACATTACCCCTACATAATTCACCTTTAATATACCGCTAAGATCTTCTGGAGATGGCCTACGTGATGTTTCGTGTGTTTTTTAGGAAACTACAAACACGTGTTATTACACACCTCTCTGTGGTATCTTTTTGTTTCGTTTTTTAATTGAGTATTACATAAAAATATAGATTATATTATTACATATTTAAATGTTTTATTTTTTTATTTTCTAGCGTTTTTAATTGCCTCTAAATTAATATTTGATTAGAATTTGTTATAAAATAATGTATATTTATTTATTGTATTTGATAAGCCAAAAAAAAGGAATACACCATTAATGCACCAAGTCCATACACCTATTACTAAACTTACGTGCATAGAAATCGGCCCACTGTGAACTTTTGGTTTTAACTGTGTCTTTTAGAATCTATTTAGTAAAAAATATGAGCTGTTTCAAAGACAATTTAACATGTTTTAATATGAGCATAAATTTATCCAGGGTACTTATCGTTTATATGCGTACCAACGGGTAAACAAATAAAATGTATTTGTGTTGTGGTGACAGTAAGAATAACAAACTTGTCAAATATTGCAATTACTGCCTTTGTAATCGAAATTTTCACACTGTTCTATTAATTTTTGATTAGTTGTGTTTCATTGTTTGATTAGTGTTTCAATTTAATGCATGCATCATCGGAAAAAGCCGCCCAAGTAATCGCTTTAATCGAAAATGGACTTAAATAGATAGCTGTAGCTCGGCAACTACCATGGCTGGGAAACTTAAATGGAAATGACAGTTCATTAAAAATAGTTTTTCCTCCAAGATGCAGAGGCGCAAAATATTAAAACTGTCAATATTAACAATGCAAATATCAATATCTGACAATAATAATATTTGATTTTTAACTGTCACTCAGAGACGCTTTTGTTGTGATTTTACGGTTTGATTTCGTTTTGATTTGTCGAATTATTGTAAAATTAAATTCCTTCAGATTTTTTGCCAGTATTCTGTTTTAGACAATGTTTTTTAAAAATGGTTGGACAATTTGTGTTTTGTAATAACTCTTAATTATTTTTTATCATGGAGTTTAATTGTTGTACACCTGGTTTCCGAAGGATACAATGGTAAGTAAATTAAACATATCTACTTACAGTTATAGATTTTTTAAATTAGTACTGCTAATAAATGCTACTTGCAGAGCAGTTATTTAAATTTTTTTACGGTGCATGTAAGGAATTAAGGACGCGCGTTTTATATTAGCATGATCAGCAGATGATTACATCTGATTTAATTTGTTTTTATTATTTCAGGTCCCAAACGGAAACTAACTGGGAATCTTGCCTACACCAAAATTATATACCTAGCCGTTTCCAATTCACTTCAAAGGGAGGAAAATTATGTAAAACTGCCTGCTATTTGCTGAAAACCGCCAAAGATTAAATTATAACTCTAACAACTTAATATAAACTATTTCTAGTATTTTTAATATATTTTTTAATTAATATCCGACATATAAGAACACTTTGTATGCTTTTAATTCAGTTGATTTATCGTTTATAATATGTTCGACCTAATTAAAAGCACACAAAGTGTTCTTACATGTATGTCTAAACTTATTTTAAATTAACTAAAACAATCCCCCTTCCCCGCACCCCTCTCTTCCATTAGTATTTCTTCCTCCGTCTACCAGAGGCGCCCTTGTATAATAAAATTGAAATGTATTATAAGTTGCCTATCTATTTAATAGTATAAGTCTTTTATCTATGGCAACTACATATGACACGGGAGCGGTTCGAAGAGTGTGTGAACGATATGAGGAGACTCGATCCTTTCGTAGTCGACCTGGAACTGGTAGAATGAGATATACAACGGATCGTGATGGCCGCTTTATTGTGTCAACAATGTTAAGAAATCGGCTGAATTACTATTCAGGTGCAACAACAGCTCCGTGAAACACGAGGAGTGACTATTAGTCAGTGGACAGTAAGACGAAGATTGAAGGAAAGTAACATGACCCCCAAAACACCCGCAATTGGTCCAAAACTTACCCCAGTTCATCGTCAGGCACGCTTGCGTTTTGCACTGGAACATCTGAATTGGACACTAGAACAATGGGAATCTGTTCTATTCTCAGATGAGACCAGGATATGCCTCTATGGTAGCGACTGAAGAAAAAAAGTGTACCGGAGGCCAGAGTGAGCGATTTGCAGAATGCTGCATTGAGGAGGGGATTGCTTATGGAGGTGGTTCCTGCATGATCTCGGATGCAATTACTATGACTGCGCGAACCGACCCAGTTTTCATCCAGGTGGATGACACTTCTTATGGGAGAACTGGCAATGGTTGAAAACTTGACTACAAGCGATTTTCTAGGAATCTTCCTTACTGATAAATTATTGACAAGAGTGACAGATATAAACCTTTTCAGTATTCCAGTTCATCTCTTTTTCTTTCTAAAGTGTGCGTTGAAAGGAGACAAAAATAATTTTTGGTGACCCATAATGTGTTATTCGAACACCACTTTTCTTTTGTTTACACGCTGCATTTTGCTTTGCAAATTTAATACATAAATTATTTAGGCAAATATAGGTTTTTAATAAAACTCCTCGGACTAACGTGTAGGTAAGTGTTGATAATTTTTTTTTCATCTTAACATGCTCATTGTCGTTCTCCTGATTTTAGGTGACAGAAAAGGATATCAAATCAAATTGAATTTTATATTTTCCTTCCTATTTATCCTTCCTAAATATCAACGAGATGAGCCATCGGAAGAAAGGGACCATAGTACAAAACACAGAAAGTTCTTTTTTTCTTTTCCACTTCGGATATTGAAATTATTATATACTGTAGTCGTGTTCGGCATTATGCTCTGAGAAATATAGATAAACAAAGAACAACAGATATAAAGCATCCCAGAGGAAAAGAGAGGCAATACCTGTATGTACTCTCTCTGATATTTGTGAAAGTTACAGCAAAGTATTGTTGTAAATGTCATCTTTTTGATCAACCTGAAAACTTCGAGCAAAAAGATGACACTTTCAACAATACCCTGACAGATATCAGAGACGATACAGGTTTTTCCTCTCTTTTCCCCTGGAATACTTTTAATTTATTATTCTTTGTTTATCTAGATTTCTCAGAGCACTATTAACAAAACAAAACAAAACAAAACAACGCTTTATTGTGCAAAAAGCCAAAACAGCTTCATCGACAAAGCACTCACAAACAACAAAATCACAAAAAAATACAAACAACAAAAAATACACAATACAAATAATACAATTCAAAAAAATTTAAGTCTTTAAAATTACAAAAAGAATATACATGGACAATTTTAGAACAGTACGCAGTAAATAGATATAATTTTAAAGTTATAGAATATTAAATACTTGACCTTTGACCAGTGTGTGAGATGATCAAAATTTTAAAATTCAAAATTGTTCATAATCAAACATCAACAAAAAGTCGTTTACCGCGTATAGGGCTCTCTCCAGTAGGTATGATTTTAGAGCCTTGCGAAATGCGGGAAAGAATGAAAGCGATTTGATATGCAAAGGCAGATGATTGTACATTTTTTTGGCATTGTACAGTATTGAACCCTTAACTAGTTCTGAGCTCGGGGTTGGCAGATAAAGATCGTGCTCTGCATCCCTATTAACGAACTCAGCTTGTATGTTTGAAATAATTGTCCAGTTGGCTTAAAAATGATGATCGATGACATTTCCCATATAATTTTACTTTCAAAATTATGATATATCTTTTATTTCTAAGCCATTTATGACGCCATTTTTTTCAGTTTTGTTATAATTAATTTTGTCTCTTGATTGTAGTAATTACATGATGAGTACTTGCAACATTATTCTTTTCATTTTATTAATTTATTGTGGTGAAATTAATTTCTGTTGTATATTTGATATTGATATTAAACATATTTTTAAAAAATGGTGTATTTTTTGTGTTTTTGTGTATGTCATAATTAAAAATAAATGAAGAAATAATTTTTTTTATTTTTTTAAACTTTCCGCCTTGCGTGACAATTTAGTCCGTAGTTCCTACAAGCGAAATTGGGGGCGCTAGTAGCAGTAGATTTGTCAACAGTGTCAAATTTAAACGTCAATTTCACTTTCCAATATTTAGCAAGGCGCTCGCACTTCTTCTTGTGTATGTGTTTTGTGTTTTCATCCGTTGGGGCGACCGTCGGCACGGGAGAGGAGGTTTAACTGGTGCTAGGTATATTGAGGAGTTTTTAGCAGTTCATGCGGTACCTTACGTCGACTACATTGGAAACGAATTCACATTTATGCATGACAATGCGAAGGCACATACATCAAGAATCGTACACGATTACATTTCAGAAGTCGGATTTCGGGTTATGGAATGGCCAGCATGCAGTCCAGACTTAAACCCGATAAAACATTTATGGGATGAGCTAAAACGAAGAATTCGTACTAGACGAAGAGCCCCAACTTCTATCCCAGAGCTCATTGTTGCAGTAGAGGGAGAGTAGGGCTTAACATCCCGCAAGAAACAATATCAAATTTGGTCGAATCTATACCAAATCGTATGAGAGATGTTAGATCAAGAGGGGGTCATACCCATTATTGAAAATTTAGTTTAGTTAATTGTCCATAAATAAATAAATAAATAAATAATAACATACACCTCTTAGTGATAAAAAACGATAATTTGTTTCATGCATTAATTTAATAATTTTAATCCGAAGAAACGAAAATACAAATTAATATCTCTAAACTCTTTTCAAAGAATATGAAATTGTCTTTCAAACAGCATGTATTTTTTCTTAATCTGACAAATAGATTCTAAAAAATATATAGTTAACTTCAAAAGTTTGCCTTGGGCCGATTTCTATGCACGCAAGTGTATTTTACCTACATTTTCTTAAAAAAATCGACAGAACCACGCCCATTTTTACCAGTTAAGCTATACTGAGTTAAAAAAAGTTCTTAAACTTAACTCTGGTACAAATGGGCATTGGCGACCGACAAAAATATGAAAAAAAAAATTACCTACATTAAATTAAAAAAACAATAATAAAGACATTATTTATTAATAGAAAAAACTGTTAGGTACCTACATTTAAAACTATTTATATACTGATAATAATACATACCCAAACAAAATCCCACGTGAACACAAGACTTCTCTCAGCTTAATGTAAACCTTTTCAAAGTCAATCAGCCTTAAATATATAGTTGTTCCCCATGATTGCTCACATAACACCTTTTTTCCATCGCAGAGATAAATTAGAAAAATACGAAAAATACTTACACATGAATAATTATTCTAAATAACACAAGAGTTTTGTGATCTTGACATAGCGCAGCAAACCAATTTTTCGCAATATAATAATAATAAAAAATCATTTAAATTGGAACTAATTCCATAGTGGTACAGGGAGGTCAAATAAATTTGTTTATATAACAAAATGCTAGTCAGGCAAATCCAATGCATGAATATAATTGATGAATTAATTGTTTAATAAATATAATTTAAATTGTATTTTGCCTCAAAGATAATAATTTAAAATCAAAACTATTGTTAACTATTAACATGCCTAAACTGTGTTTTTTTAGTTCTTTGGACACAACTATCAGAAATAATTGCAGAATCACCCTATATATGACACAGTCTCATTGCTAGCTTGATATTTTCTATAAGGATACAATATATTATAAAAAAACTCTTAGCAAAATTTACTATATAAACAATTTTAATTATTGTATGCTTGAAATAAATAAAATTTTTGGATTCCTCGACAAAATCTGGGCCCTATTATATGTTTTTTACAATACATCTTCGTAACCTTGAAAGAACATATTGTGTTTCATAGAAAAAATACAGAAACATTAACCAGACTTGTTTGTAAGTTTAATTTTCTAGTAACACTGTTTTAAGATTGTTTATATATTGAATTTTAAAGTAAAAAATATTCGTCGAGCTTGATCGACCACCGACCAACTAGATTAACGGGTAAATTAGTTGGTTGCGCTTGTTTTTGTTAAAATAATTAATTATTTACAACAACGAGAACGTAAACGTGATTCCACAGTTATTTGTTTATGTATAAACATATTTATTTAAACTTATATAACAAACTATTAAGACTTACCATTTTTTAACATATATGAACTGATTCACGAAAATAAAATTCCATATTTTTCCATCTAATATCACTTTATTTGTTTAATAAATAAAAACAATGAATAAAACAGGACTTATTTTATAAATCCTAGTAGTTTGGAGTCATCAAGGAACATGTTACATCTGTGTAGTTACCGATTCAATATCGTTGTGTAGTCCTTCATTTTTCCCTGAAATTATAGAACAAGACACGTGTTACTTGGCAATGAACTTTAAAATATTTGGCCTCAATTCATTTTTAAATCAACAAAAAAATTATTTGTTGTTTACATTTATTAATGAGGTTAGAAATCAAAATCAAACGTCAAAAAATAATTTCATAGTTATACAACCAGATATACAGATGAAGGTATTTTATGTTGCCTATATAAACCTTACCGTTTAAATTCTGCTCAAAATCATATTCCGTTTGAAAAATTGTGAAATTCTTGTTACCGCAATTTTCTAAAGTCTTTATAATTCTGTCACGGGATACAAGAAAGGCTACTGATGTTCCTTTCTTTTGTAGGTCGTCAGCAATCAAGGAAAAACACTAAAAAAGTCGTGAAATATATGAAATGGTTTGGTGTTTGATGTTTTATTGTGTTTTTTTGTACCTTTCCAGCAGTGTAGTCCAAAGAAATAACATTAGTACAATCTACGAGAACTATACTGACGTTGGATTTGGTACTTGTAGCGTACTGAACGATTTTTTCTCTTATATGTTCAGCGGATGAAAAAAATACTGAAGATGTTAAAACCATTTTCAAGTATGTTTTGTTTCCTGTAATCTAGCAAAAAAATAGTGATTTAAATATTATAAAATTCAACTTACATGTAGTATAGTTACCTTTTTAGATGTGAGGATTTTTGGTCTGGCTGTGAAGTACATTAGTTTGCATATTTCAACTAGAATTCCAATTAATATACCAAGCTCAATCCCAATTAACAAACAAGAGACAAAAGTAATTATGAATGGTATTAAATCTAGTTCTAAAAAAAAAATAGAAAAAAATTACTGGTTGTATAGATGCAGAAAATTTTAAAATATGAAATTTTTCAAAAAACTTTTTTCAGCCTTTTTCCTTGTATGTAGCTGATATTTTTAAACACTCTACATTAAATACTCACTGTTTATATACCAGATGGATTTTGCTATTGTGATTTCTACCATAAACACAACAGCACAAATTATCACAGCGGCTAGAGTTGCTTTTGGAATGTAGGAGAAATATGGGGTAAGAAATGTGAATGCCATTATTACCATAATACCTGTAAAAGATGGATTGTTTCACATTTCCACTAATTTATTAGATTTTCTTTGAAAAAAAAATGACTTTATATCGAAAAATATCCGAAATATTGATCTTTTTTTTAATTTCTGTTTCTGTTAGTATATTTTTATGAAAATTAGCATAACGATGTAAAATTAAATTCTCAATAACATTATTCTTTAATACTTTCTGATTTTTTGCTATCCTAGCCCATTTTTTTTATACATTATTGAAAAAATATTTTGAACTTTTTTGACTGAATAGTTATAAGATTCTGTCAAATTACTAGTGTTTCTTTTAATACCGGTGTATATTCCTGATACAGGTGTCCTAACACCACTGGCACTGCTAACAGCCGCCCTGGAAAAGGAAGCATTCACTGGATACGAGCCAAAGAATGATCCAAAAATATTGCATAGTCCCACTGCTATCATTTCTTGTGATGCGTCAACAACATTGCCACGAGCTAAAACAGTTTATTATTAATTTTATTTAGACCACCCTGTAGTTATCTATACGACCGAAAAAAAACGGCGTCAGAGACGGCTGAGGATTGGCAATCGATAATTTTGGCGAGGCCAATCTCTATAGATGTCGAATTTTAAACTACACCATTTAAAAATCATTTTTATTCAATGTAAAAATAAATTACAATCTTCTTACGGCCAGTTGGCAGTATTAAACAATAAGGAAGGATAGGGGCCAAGTAAATGATATGTAGGGCTTGACCTCGCCAAAATTATCATCAATTTTCATTCCCCAGCCGTCTTTGACGCCGTTTTTTTTTCGATCGTATAGTAGCAGTACGTAAAATTTTACCGAATGCTTTGGCTATTCCCACATTCGCCAAAATGGCAACAAACGGTATAACAACCAGTCCGTATCCAAGTTCTGATATCATTTGAGGTATACTAGTACCATTGGTACCATTGATGGTTTCCACTGGCTTTAGAGGTATGGAAATATTGGGAAACCCAGAAGGAACTTTTGCTAAAAATAAAAAATAAAAAGGATAATTATACAGGGTATCCCAGAAATAAATGCAAGTATTTTAACTGGTAGTATAGTTCAACCACAGAAACTGAAAATTCGAAATTTTATGAAAAAATTTGTGGATATTTTTTAGTTTTTTGTTTGAAATTTTTTTTAGTTGATAATATGGCAACATAGGTATTAGATTAAATTTACAAGAAAGAAAATCCAGAAAAGATCCAGTGGTTCTCAAAATTTTAGCAAAAAATATTTTTTTTTTGGAAATTTTCAATGTAAAATAACTCCGTTAATTTTGACTTATTTGAAGAACGATAAAGAGAAAATATGTTTCTTTTATCTACCACCCCTTAAAATTCTTGCACTTATTTCTGGGACACCCTGTATAATATTAGATAATATAGATAGATATTAAATTAATATATAACATTAGAAAATTATAACTTTATTGACTAAAACTACTAGGAAAGCGAATAAATACTATTCTGCATTGTACAGGGTGTCTCTAAAATCTGAAATTAATATAAATATTTTAAAGAGCAGTATATTTTCTAATTTCGATTTTTAAAATAGATAGATATAGATTATGAGACGTTCTGTGACAAAAAAAGTATAAACTTGTAACTAAAATCAAACATTGTATACTTACAGGTAAGTGCAAAAGGTTTATGGTCATGATACTTAAAAATAAAGGCTAAAACTGCACAGGAAATGACCACCATTGCGTTTCTTCCCACTGAAACGAACCAAATACATTTTTTATAAGTCGCAGCTTGTTTTTCTGGACTTGTAGTCTTAATTGGAGGCACTCCATAGTCTTTCAATTTCTAAAAACGAAAATACTTTATTCTAGTACTGATAGTTTCGCGATAATTTTAAACTAACTCGCATCAGAAGCAAAATTGTGATACAAACAAATCCTAGAAGCGTATCCCACAGTTTTACTTCACCAATATGTATAAAAAATTGTTTCCACACATCCACAAAACTCTCTGCCGTAAATTTCAGTCCAAAAAGGTTTTTTACTTGCGACGTCGCTATAGTAATGGCCCCCGCGGACGTAAAAGCTGATACAACAGGTAAAGATACAAAATCAACCAAAAAACCTAAAAAACCCTTTTATTTACTGAAAAAAATAACATTCCGGCAACATAGCTTTCGAGCGCAACGTTGCCGGATTGTGTGAAAATTACCTAAATGCAGGATTCCGCTGAAGAGTTCGAAAATGCCGGCGAAAAACGTCAACATTACGGCGGCTTTGACGTTGCCAAAAGTGACGTTGTGAGTGTACTGGTAGGTGAGTAATGACAAGAGGGCCGTGGGTGCTATGTTTAGTTCAGGGATGGTGCCGAAGACGGCGTAAATGATGCCTCCGCACAGTGAGGAATACAGGCCATACTAAAAGAGGTATAATAATGAGAAAATTTTTTTTTTTTATTTTTTTTATCTTATAATAAGTCAATAAGAATCACCTTTTTAAATATTAGCATGCCCATTAAGGAACACCCTGTATAATAGTAACAATAATTTTGAAGATCAAAATCTTGTAATACATAATTAAAAATAAAACATTAGATGTCCTAAATTATTGTCTTATTAGTAAATCTTTATTGGCTAATATTTTAAGACAATATTATACTTACTTGTGGATCTAGACCAGCCAATGAGGCATACGCTATACACTGAGGTATCAAAGTAAGTCCCACTGTTATACCAGCAACAACATCGCACACTGCAGTATTTCCATCATACTTCTTCAAGAACTTCCACAAGGGAAACAGTTTTTCCAAATATCTCCAGGTCCAAGTGTTTAACATGGTTTTCATTCACTAGCTGCACAGTCATGAGTGAAACAGTTCTTTTGTTTCTGTATGAACAAAAAAAACACACATTTTTAAGATTATTTAAGAAAAATGGAACGACAATAATTATAAAGCGTTTAAAAGATTTATCACCAAACATAAAGAAATTAAGAACGAAACATGTACAGAGCTGAGATACTTGGTAAAATACCGTATGATCGAAAAAAAAACGGTGCCAAAGACGGCTGGGAATGACGATGGATAATAATTTTGGCGCGGTCAATCTCTAGACATCATTTTATCTCAATGTAAAATTTGTCAAAAATTAACACTAATTAGATTAAAAAACATAGAACCTTTCAAGACTCAATCGGATTAAAAAAACTCATACTAAGTTGTACAATATTATGTCACACCCTGTATAGTATAAAAGAAAAAATACAGTAAAATTGATCTCTAAAGGAAGCGGTAAATAGTTTTAAACAGCTACAATATAACTGTTCGTATTTTTTCTGTTTTTTTTTTCTGCTCTGTTATTACTGCAAATTACAAGTGACAATAATGCATATTTTTAAAATTGGTATAGCCTTCAAAATAAAGTAATTTCTTCACACCATTGTTGTTAATCTTTTATTGTGACCACTACAATAATATCTAAAGAGGATAAAAATTATAACGCCGTTCCGTACATTCTTAACAAATTATTATTAATTAAATTTTCTTGTTGATTAGATAATATTTATTAATTTTTTTAACTATGTATCTCCTATCTCCTGTGCCAATGAATGATTAGTTTGGAATCACCCTTTATATACTGAGCATATTTCTAAAAAGACACTTGTAAAATATTTATTAAATTGCCCGTATATTCTATAAAAAAATCATACATTATACATTAATAAGTATTTTTTATGTGCTCTATATAGTATATTGAAGCCTTGTATACAAATAAAATACTTTTCTTGTATAAGAATAAGTAATCAAAATTGATATTACTAAATGTTTATTTTGTCAATTTAATTAATAAAACTATAGGTATCTAGCTAATCAACCTAATTTTTTTTATCTTGTATTGCCAAAGGCTGTTAAATAATTATGTACTTTTATTTTTGAACCAAATGTCTTATACGACCTTATTTTTTGTTTTGTTCTTATGAATTACAATGAAGTTAAAGGCATACGTGTTTTTTTATTTAAAAATAATCGTGAATGTTCGTTTTGCATTTGGGGAAACCCCATACTAACATACAATAACAAAGTTAGTTATATAACTATATATTTTTTTTTAATTTAATTTTAATTAAAAAATTATCTTTACAAAAGGAAAAACTTTTTTATTATTATTTAAAATTTTTTGTTTGTTTGTTTTAAAATGGTTAATCCAGTGTATACTTTTCCAAATATTCATTTAAAAAACTTTTTTTCACTCAAAATGCACATTTTTTTTAAACTTTTCTTAGATTCTTCAATAATAAAAAAAATTAACACAGACATATATTTTTTACATAGACCAGTACGTTTTTTAATTTCTAAGTACAATAATACTTAGAAATTAATACTTGATAAATATAGCACACTTGAATATATTTACATTCATCTAAGCCGGTTTATATTTATTACTAAAATAAAAAATCTATTTTTATTTATTTACCTGTATGCATTTATATTTTGATGTTAACATTATTTCATCCCACTCAACAACATTTTGGTATTTATTTACTAAGAATAACTCACTGCACTGTAAAACAATAACAAAAACAACACAAAACCAATAAATTTTAACCTAACACAACAATAATATAACTATATTTTGTTAATACGAATCTTCATTACTTTTTAAAAAAATATTTCTTTAAAATTCACAGAGTTATTCTTCTCCCAATGACTTTACAATAAATAAAGTACTAACAACAATCGCCTCAACATTTATACGAACTCTCCTGATTTCGACGAACTACCTGTATAAAAAAAACGTAATAGTTATACAGGATGGCTCATAAAAAAGTCTCAAAAGTTTAAAGTTTGAATCCAAAAGATTTTTTCATTTTTCAAACAACTACAATACAACTATAAATTTCAGAGTTTTATATTAAAGAACTTTTTCCTAAATCACTTTACTCTCTTAACTGACATAAAAAATAATAATTGAATATAAAGAAGCTAATTTTTTATCACCCTGTAATTATAATTGAAGTGTTGTTATACCGCACACATCCTCATAGCGAATTAGGATAATTTGTCGCTAAAAATCAGTGGTCATAATTTTTTTCAAGGTACTCTACGAACTGTTGACATAATATATTAGGACTCAATGTCTATCGTACAGGATGTACGGTATTTTTTTGCTTTTATTATAAAATTTATACCAAAATTAACACTTGTTTTAAAAATAATAGGTTTACAGTTCTCGTATTCTTGAAATTTCACAGGTTTATGTTATCAGTATCGATATATACAGGGTGTCCCAGAAATAAGTGCAAGTATTTTAACTGGTAGTATAGTTCAACCCCAGGGATACGCCTATGAGGTATTTTTCGCGAAAAATTGAAAATTCGAAATTTTTTTGGAAATCTATTTAGTTTTTAGTTAAAAAATATAATTTCTTGATAATATGGCAACATAAGTATTAGATTAAATTTACAAGAAAGAAAATCCAGAAAAGATCCAGTGATTCTCAAAATTTTAGCAAAAAATCATTTTTTTTTGGAAATTTTCAAAGTAAAATAACTCCGTTATTTTGGACTTATTTGAAAAACGATAAACAGAAAATATGTTTATTTTATCGAGATCTACCACCCTTTAAAATACTTGCACTTATTTCTGGGACACCCTGTATATACAGGGTGAGTCTTAAATAAGTGCAAATATTTTCAGGGCTGGTATATTTCGATCCCAGGAACACGTCTATGAGGTTTTTTCGCAAAAAAACGATGTTGAAAATCGTGCATTTTCTTTTAAATTTCCCTGTATATTTTTCGAAAAGTTGTTAGAACTGTCTGTTCATCGCAAATTTTTCCACGGTATAATTTCTTAATCTCTGATATTACAATAGTTACGGCTTTACTCTATGGTTACGGCACTAAAAGGGATGCAATTACAGAAAAAATCCGGTGGTTCCCAAATTTTTTCAAAAATCAATTTTTTTAAAATTTTCAAGCTTAAATAACTCGGTTATTTTGGAATTATCTGAAAAATGCTAAAGAGAGAATATGTTTCTTTTATCGAGATCTACCAGCCCTGAAAATATTTGCACTTATTCAAGACTCACCCTGTATATTTATGAAATAAAACTAAAAAATAATATAACAGAACTATATTTATATTTATAAACAATACATAATGAAAAAAATAAGGATATTACAGTTGTTTACATGTCAAAAATGGCGGAATTGTACACTGGCAAACCAAATTCCTGTCTTCACCCCACATATTTACCGTTCTCTTGAAACCTTCCCCAACAGGTACCTTCTTCGACCCAAACGTACATTCCAGGGTACTTTTCCCGGCCGGTTCTTTATCTACAACCTCAATTTTATCATTTTCCTCCGGACACACCCAGTGGTTCGGACAACAAAGCGCATTCTCCTCAGATTCAAACCTGAAATATGCCGGGGCACAGTTGTTTCGTATATTTTCGGCATTACGCAGCTCTTCGGCGCAGTTTCTTCTAACGCAGGTCTCTTTATCGTAGCTTCCTTGAAAATTCTCGTGACATACGCAACTCAAACAGGAGTTTTTCGGGTAGAAGTTTTGTCCCACTTTATAGACGGTTCCGTCCACTGTACAGGTTTTGGTGGAGTTTTCGCACTGGGATCCCGAAGCGCAGCATTTTCCTAGTTCGTATTTCGGGTAGCAGTTTGGTTCTCTGTAAGCGCCTAGGTTTTCGGGACAATCTAAAACGGCGCAGGTCGTTGACGTTTCACCACATCTACAACCAATTTGACAGGCTGAATATGTCAAGTCCGAATCGATTTCTTCACGGGGTTTGTAGATTTTTCCTTTAAAAAGACAGCCGGATTTCGGTTGGGCTAGATCGCAATCGAAACTGGTTGGGCAAGGGTCTTCAGAGTTCTTCACTGGTTTACAGTGGAGATCTTCGTACAGTAACACTCCATGTTGGTCACAATCGTCTGCAAGCGTGTGACAAATACAAGTGAACAACAAAAACGTAAGAGTGAACTTGCTCATACTTAACATCGCGACGTTTTACGAAGAATTGAACAAAATACAAGGTCGAGGTCTCTATTTAAGTCTTTATTTTGATTGGAATAGTAAAAAATCGTGACCTACATGTCAGTGGTATTTATTTATACCTTTGTAGTTAGTTGGATTTATAAAATGGAAATTCTTAATAATAAATAATAATAATTATTGTTGCTTTGATGGAATCTTGTTTTCGAAATACAGAATGAATCATGAAATATTTGACATGTTTATTTATTTTTGTAAGTGTTAAAGAGATATACATATACAGGGTGTCCCAGAAATAAGTGCAAGTATTTTAAAGGGTGGTAGGTCTATAAAAGAAACATATTTTCTCTTTATCGTTTTTCAAATAAGTCCAAAATAATGGAGTTATTTTACTTTTTTGAAAATCTCCAAAAAAATTATTTTTTGCTAAAATTTTAAGAACCACTGGATCTTTTCTGGATTTTCTTTCTTGTAAATTTAATCTAATACCTATGTTGACATATTATTAAGAAATTATGTTTTTAACTAAAAAAAATTCAAAAAAATTTCGAATTTTCAAATTTTTTTTCGCAAAAAAACCTTATAGGCGTGTTTCTGGGGTTGAACTATTCTACCAATTAAAATACTTGCACTTATTTCTGGAACACCCTGTATAATACAGTTCATACCAAATAAACTTTTAGTCGCGTGATTAAGCTTGGCCGGTACAGTGTTGCCTACTTTTATACAGGGTGTCCTAAGTGCAAGTATTTTAAGGGGTGGTAGATCTCGATAAAAGAACTATTTTTATTTTTTTTATTTTTTTTATTTTTTTTTTTTATTTTTATCATTATTATTTATTTATTATTATTATTATTTATTTATTTTAGTTATTTTACTGAATTGAAAATTCCCAAAATCTTTTCTGGATTTTCTTTTTTGTAAATTTAATATAATACCTATTATATTGCCATATTATCAAGAAATTATGTGTTTAACCAAAAATTTAAAAAATTTCCAAAAAAAAACCCCTTCCACTCATTTTAAAAAAGTGAAAAAATTACCAGAAAGTGTGTTTTCATAACAGTAATGCTTCCATAAAATTTTATTAGTCTATCTCTTTTCGTTTTCAAGATAAAAAATAAAAACATTATTTTTCCGCCATCTTTGTACCGCAATATCTCCCTAATGGTTGACTTTTGACCCAACGTTTATGAAGCAAACTACCCTTTATTTTTTCACAAGGAATCGCCCCCTGAAGTTTTTCGCATTTGTTTTGAAACACCCTGTATACTAATCCGAATAATACGCACTCATATTTTAAGTTAAAAATAACATTATCAAATTAATATTTATTACTGCAACACAGAATATGTAACCCAAAACATATAAAATATCAAATAAATAAAAAAATAAATAAAAACAAAACAACATCAAAACTAACTAAATTAAAATAAACAATGTAAATAGGAACATGAAGATGTTAAAATTCTTTTTTCCCTACTTTAGCATGGGCGAAAGTTGACACAATATTACCAATGTCTATTGTACGAGTAACTTCATTTTCTATTGAAATAGTTGCCAAAAAAATGGCAGTTTCGAGCACCTCTATAATAATACGACTATTAGGTAACTAGAGTTTTTGTGATTTTGAGTTAACTAGTTTGGCCAGTATAATTTTTCATGCTCTCTTTGATGCTACAACTAGCTTAGTTCTATTTCTATTCGTTGGTACAGAATTCCAGTGACAATACAGCAAATTTCCTTTTTTGTCAAATTTAATGCTCTAATGAAAAATCACATATTTCCAGTTATTTTTATTTTGCAAAATAAAAAGGAAAACACAGTTACAAAATTGCACAAGAACAAGTGTAAAATAATAAGTTATTTTCGCGATGGCGTGTGCTAGTTAAGCAGTTAAGAAGATATGTGATAGATAAGAACTTAGTTCGGTATCGCCCAATTTTACTTGATTCGCGATAGCATGTGATAGATATAGGAATGCGGCCCGGGCTTCGCACACACGGCACATCGATAGTTACGCCACTGTTTAAGATTTAAATAAAACTTCTTTTTTTCTATAAAAGTATATACGTATATGTAGCTCGTTTATTAAAATATTTTTACAAAAACGCAAAATATATCATATATACAGAGTGTCCCAAATTCGAGCGTAGTCCGCTCAAAATTTACCATAATTTAATCTACATCGTATCACTCACGGTTTTCGAGATATATCCCAAAGGCCACCCTCGAATTTGGGACACCCTGTATACATCACACTCGTCACATTTCTTCCCTGAGTCTAAATTCTCATAATGTACTGATCACAAAAATTGTTACAATTCCTTAATAGCGTCGCTCAGGTCGCCATTTTTAAAATGCCGACCCATTTGTTCACTGTTTCCCGTACAAATATTTCGCACGCCATCTTTGAAATTCCAAAAAACTGCATCTTGATTGCGCACTTTAAGGTCGTCAAGTAGATCCAAGAAATTCTGCAAAATACGAAATACGAATATTAAATATATAATGTTTATATCCTTGAAGAAAAACAAGAAATAGCCATCTTATCTGATTAGCTAAGCAGCGTTAAAAGTAATCAACTACACCATTTAAAAATCATTTTAATCAAGATAATAAAATAAATAAGAATTCGGGCCAAGTAAAATACGTCTAGAGCTTAATTTAATTGTCATCCCAGCTAGCGATGGGAACTATCGAATGAATTAGACTATCGAATGGTTAATGAATGAATGATTTCAACTATCGAATGGTTTTATTCGAATAAAATCATTCATTCATTTGTATACTAAAGCATATGTGACAACCTCGCCGTGCGACTAAATGGTTATCGTTGAGCCACGACTATCGAATGCTTTTGATAAATGAAATTTAGTATTCGTTTGATTTTTGTATGCGTCAGTGCATTATTAGTTCTTCCAAATTTTTATAACTTCACCGTATAAATACTGTGCTATTTTTGCGTTTACTAAAATAGTTAAAATACTAAAATAGTAGTTATTTTTTAATTTTATTTATTGACGATTGTGTGCATGTGCAGGTGGTCAAAATTTTTCCGAAAAGTTGTGTGGTTTTCCGTAGTCCGATCTTTCAATTATTTAATTTTATATGGTATATGGTCTATTTTTTAATGGGAAATTTTGAGAAGTAGCAATTTTTAAGAGAGATGAGATGAACTTAAATTAATTTTAAAAGTACATATTTGTATTTTAGATGTTTTAATAATATGAATTAGTTGAACTTAATAATCATATTAAAGTAATGTGGTTAAGTAAATGGTTATCGAACTCAAACTATGGGGTGAGAAAATTAAAATGAAAGTTTTACACGTGCCAATTTAAAAAAAAAGTTAACGATGTTTGTATTTTGTTTATGCTAATTCTCTTACATGTAGTTTTTGCGAAGAAATATTTCATTTATTTTTTAAAGTAAATGCCAGTAAAAGTAAATATAATTTTTAAATAGTAATATAAAGCACCTAATATAAATAATTTGATTTCTAATTTTTATTTATATTTTCCTTCCATTACACTGCATGCTTAGAAAATTAATAAATGTTTATATTTCATGATTTTAAAATTTGTTGTTAATATAACAAATTAGTTCTGTAATTATTATTATTTAATAAACCAACGTTGCCACACACAAAAAATTTAGAGACTATATTATTTTTAAATAGGATCTAATATAAATAATTTTGACATCTAATTTGTTGTTTATATTTTGCTACTACTTCGATCTATTCGATAATTTTTATTCGAATAGTTTTCAACGAATGTTTTTTTACTAACTATCGAATTATTCGAATGAATTGCAACTATCGAATGTTTCGATAGTATTCATTCGATAGTTCCCACTACTAATCCCAGCTTTTGACGCCGTTTTTTCCGATTGTTTGGTATTTATAAATCATTACGTGCGTATTTCTATAAAATAACTCACCCTAGCCGCCGTGGAATCGCTGTTTCTTACAAATTCTCCATCGATGACAACTATGGATTTCTCTTCGTCACATTCCGTTAGTATGGTGTCCCTCAAAAACTCAGCCGAAGTGAAGTAAAGTCCTACTTTTGGCCGTACCACGTATACCACGCGGTCTTGCACCACTGTCTGCTCTATGTGTAACTTTGGCCTGGCGCTGTCGTACAGTATAAACACTAAACTGGTGCCTATTCCTATGAGAATGCCGTACTCTAGACTGATAAAGAGACAGCAGAAGAGCGTGATGGCGTAAGGTATGAGATCTAGTCCTAAAAATAAAAATTTTGGTGAAAAAAATCATAAATAGAATAGAAAAGAAATTAAAACTAGAAAAAATAATAGAAAAAAGGGTTCGGCAATAGTGCGTCGGGCATCTGTAGCTCTTAAAATAAAAAAACTTGGGAATTTTGTTTAAACGCAAACGTAAATTATGTACCAGGATGTATTTCAGGAAAATATTTTAACTTCTTTAATCACCACAATACACCAAAACACTTATACTTTTACACTGGACGCGCGTTTCGCTAACCATGTTAGCATCATCAGCAGATGATTATAAACTGAGTATATGAGTTTATAATCATCTGCTGATGATGCTAACATGGTCTGGCTGAAACTGCGCGTCCAATATAAAAGAAGTGTTTTGGGTGTATTAGTATGATTTAGTGTTATATTTGCTGTAACACCAAAGGTTCCAACCCTCAACTGTAATCAGGAAAATATTGTCAAGAAAATATGGCGTATTTTGTTGTGTGTTATAAGTTAGTAATTGTGTATAAAGTGAGAAATAAATTCGTTAAGTATTTTATCGTGAGTTTAAATTAGTGGACCCACGGAATCCGTAACAATATTTTAACTTCTTTAGGATGGTTCGAAAAAGTGTGGGCGGATCGGGATAATTTTTTTTAAAATGGAACACCCTGTATATTATATATTTTTGGCTTCCTTTCGGATCACTTTACACAATCCTAAGATATGAGTAAATATATTTCGATAGTTTCAGAGATATTAATAAATAAATAAAAAATATATATACACACACCGGAAAAGTCTAGGGATATTACAATTTTATCCAGCCATCGTCAGTAATTTTATTATTTGCATTTCTGATATAATAAAATTAAAATAAACAAATAGTTTACAGGACGTATTGGAAATAAAAATGCGAAATTTACCGAATTTTTCAAATTTACCTTGATTTTTATTGAACTCAAAAAAATACACACATTTTTTTAAATTCTAAACTGTGAATTAAAAAAAAAGATAAAACCATTTTTACTTAATAAAGGGTATGGCCTCCTCTACTGTTCATTACAGCCCTACATCGTCTATCCATGCTCCTGATCGGGTTGTCGATCTCTTCTTGAGGTACAGCCTGCCACGCTGCGTTCACGGCCCGAACCAGATCCCTACGAGTTTCACGAGGCATACCCATTCTCAAAATTCTTCTTTGGAGCGAGTCCCATACGTGCTCGATGGGGTTGAGGTCAGGAGATTGTGCCGGCCAGGGTAAGATGTTTAATTGATGAGCATTGATAAACTCACTTACCACTCTGGCTGTATGAGGCCGTGCATTGTGATGCATGAAAATAAAGTTTCTCCCAAAATCATTGGCATATGGTAACACGACAGGCTCAAGAATTAAATCACGATATTTGATTTCTGTTAGAAACCTTTCAAGAAAAACGAGATCGGTTTTTCGGCCTAACTGGACTCCTCCCCAGACCATAACTGTTCCACCTTGATAAGGGTGCATTTCCTGAACATGATCCAACCGAATAAGATTTCCCGGTTGTCTCCATACCCTAAGCCTTCTCGAATCCGGATGAATTCCAAAGCGTGACTCATCAGTGAAGAGAACATTGGCCCATTGTTCATTCGACCACTGAACATGATCTTGGGCCCACAAATATCGTACCTCTCGATTTCCTCTCGTTAAGGGTTGATCTCTCCAGGGGCGTCTGCTTCTTAAGTTGACCTGTCTTAATCTATTGCGAACAGTGTCAGGACTAACGGTTACATTATGTGTTTCCTGGAGAATTAAACTAAGCTCTGGGCTGTAAGAGTCGGTCGGCGTCGATCATTTAATTGTAAAAAATGATCTTCCTGAGGGGTAGTAATGCGATGTCGCCCTGTGTGCCTTTCTGCAACATCACCACTTTCACGGTAGCGTGCACTTAATCGCGATATTACACCTTGCCTTGTATTTAATGCTCTAGCTACGTTGATTTGGCGCATTCCAGCTTCGAGCATACCCATGGCCCTTAGCATTTCGTCTCTGTTAAGATGTCTACGCTCCATAATGTAGTTTAATACTAAACAGAGTTATTTGAATGAATTCTGGCCAGTTATCATAAAAAACATAGCCAGTACAGGTTAAATTCGAACAATTGATGCTAGGTGCTTTTTATACATTTGGCAAAAAATGCACAAACACTTCTGCAAATATCCCAAATTTAGAAATAACTAGTGTGACTACTTCGTTTCAATCGAAGTAGAAAGAATCGGCCTACAAATATGTGGTTGTTTATTCAAAACATTTATTTTTAACTTTAATAAAATTATATCCCTAGATTTTTCCGGTGTGTGTATTTAAAATTCTGTTAAAACTCACTTTTTGTTTTCCACATTACACCTATGGCGTGAAATTCACAAAGATAATACATCGAAACGATGACCACAGATGCCAACGTGGCTTTTGGAATGTACTGGAACACACCAGTAATAAACGCCAAGCAAACGAGTAACAACAGTGAAGTTATCAGCCCTAGAAAAAAAGTTTTCATAGATTCAGCTTTTCGAAGGTGAATTTTTTACCTCCTGTAGTGGTCCTCACTCCGGAAGCGTTGTTCACGGCCGTCCTAGTGAAGGAACCCGTGACCGGCATGGAATGTATAAAAGAACCCGCTATATTGCCTAATCCCAATGCCATAAGTTCCTGGCTAGCATCTATGATCTTTCCTTTAGCTGAAAATAATAGTTATTTTAAGAATATTTAAAAAAAAATTCGGGTCACCTTTCGTTTAGCTGAAATCAGTTATTAGAAAAAAAAAATTCTCTTTAAAAAGCTACTGTGAACCACGGAAAACACAAATTTTCCTGCGGAAATGCGTAATTTCCAAATTTCGCAGGAATAGAAAAAATGTCTAAAACACACCCCGAAGACTAGTTTTGATTTGGTATGAACTGTAGCTGAATAAATAGTTACTTACAGAAAGCCTTAACTATAGCAACATGCTCCAGGAAAGCAACCAGTGGACAAAATGCTATTAGAGAACCATACTCGGACAGCATATCGGTGAAACCAAAGTAAGTACCATTAAATGTAGTACTGAATGGTGGCCATGATAGACTAGGAAACCCACTTTTTACTTCACCTAAAAAATTCCATTATTTTAGTGTTTTTTTTGTTTCTTAAATTTTGTATCTATTTAAAAACATCAGACAAGTATTTTTTGGCTCATTTTTAGGGTTCCGTACCCAAAGGGTAAAAACGATAACCCTATTGCCATAACCAACATGAGATACAGGCCAGAGACATCGATTTGTGACGTCACCGCAATAGTCGGGCTTTTGAATTGTGCCATATGGTACTGCATATAGTTTTTGCATAAATAATAGTATTTATTGATAGTTTTGCCAGATATAAATATGAAAAATATTATACACAATTTATTTTTACTTTTTATATATTTATTATTGATTAATACAATTTTTCGTAATGTGTTTCTTCATTTTTTTTAAATTACTTATACGCGCATTCAAAATTTTAGCTAAATCGGAAAAAAAGTCTATAATAATATAGTGTCTAATGTTTGGTTTGGTTTGGTTATTGTTTTTTTTTTGATTAATGTGTTTTAGATACCTGTGAGAACGAATGGTGTTGAGTTGTAGTTCTTTTCAGCAACGTAAGCTATGCTAGTTCCACCTATTACCACCAAAGCGTTGCTTCCAAGGGACAAATAAATAATAAACCTTGCCAGAACATTTCTTCTTGTCGTCCATTCTGGTTTGTACTTAAGCGATCCATAAACACGAATATACTAAAAAATAAACTATATTTTTTCTATGTATATACAGGATGTTTCGTTAAAAAGCGTAAATACAATACGATGAAAAAAAAACACGGAGTCAGAGATGGCTTAGAAATGAAGATCGTTGTCATTTCCAAGCGAACTAGACGCCGGTTTTTTTTTCGTAGAATATATTCGTTAGTAAACAATCATTTTTACCCTAAATATAAACAAAAAAACTATCGAACAAAATCCTAGAATAGCGTCCCATTTTCTAGTCTCGCCTATATGTAAAATAACTGATTTCCACGCTTCCAAAAATTCGTTTGCTGATCCTTTTATGCCTAGCAGCGATTTTAGTTGTGAAGAACCTATACTTAAAGCTGCTGCAGTGGTGAAACCAGTTATAATAGGATAGGAAAAGAATTCAACAACGAATCCTAAAATAAAGTACAAAATTTTTCGAAAATTATTAAAAAAAATATTTTTTTACCTAAATGTAATACTCCAGCCGAAAATATCAAACACCCTGTCAAAAAGGTTATTAAAGCTGCTCCATCAGCTCCCATTGTTGACACACTGTTCTGTATAAACAGGGCCATGATTGCTGTGGGTCCCATGTTGATATCTTTGCAAGTACCAAAGACAAAATATACTATTCCACCCATTATGCCGCTGTACAATCCATACTGACTTGCCAAGCCTATATAAAAAAAAATCGTTAGATTTGAGGAAATTTCGTTAAACATGACAACAGCGTAATATACAATATGTCCCCAAAAGTTGACATATGATAGGTCGTTCTATTCGGAATGTCAGTTTCTATCAAATAAAGTAAAAAAAATATCGAGGGCGCTATTTAAAAATGGAAGATCTTGTTTTTTTTTTCGCAGCCAAAAACACCCGGTATATAATTTAAAATTATTTTATCAATAATTGTTTAAAAATTACATTACCTAGGTGTGTGAAAAGTCTATAGATATACCTACATACACAGCAAAAACAAATAAATGAAAAAAAACTGAATCAATATAAAGAGTCAATAATTATAATTCGCATACTTATTTTAAGATTATGGAAATATTTAATTCACGCATTTATCACAGATATAAAGCAATTTTTTTAAAATAAATCAAGTGTCATATCCGATAAACCACATATAATCAAAGCAAAATATGTGCCTTTTGTCTATAACACAGCCACTTCAGTAAATTTATATCAGTACAAGTATTGTTTGTACGAAACATTTTAATTCTTTTTTTTGCTGAACATTGTTCTAAGCATAGAATTCGTGTGCAACTTTATACAGAGCGTTTTCTTCTAAAGTAAAGTAAAATATTTCAGAAATTCCTTATATTATTTACTTATTATAATTGTAAATATTAGTCTTGTATATGTAGTTTTATATAAACAAGGAGATTAGTATAAATATACTTTAAATAAAACTAGAGCATGTCCACAGATTGTAGTTACAAGGGGAAAAACGTTTTTATTATTTAAACATTTTAAAATAGCAAAAAATATGACGTTATAATTGAATCTATCAAAGAATGAAAACGATATTATTCATATTATATTACCGTACTTAGGACTTGAAAAAAATAAAATTATATTTTCATGTTTTTTTTTTCATTTTCTCTAAAATGGTATGTAAATTTGGAAAAGTATAAACATAATTAACCATTATAGAACAAGCAATTTTTTTATGAAGAATGCATTTTTCCCAAAATGTCAATAATAAAAAAGTTTTTTTTCAAACGTTCCAAAAGTATTAATTTTTGCGATGCGATTGACAATATAAAAAAGTCATTTTAACGCCTAGGAAAATAGATTATTAAACTGACATAAATAAGTGTCAAATTCAACGAGCTTAACCATAGTCTCTCGATATATAATTACATACAAGGTATGACTTAAATATTTCTATATTATTTGGAACGTTTGAAATTGTCTAAAAACTTATTTGTGGCGTTTGAAAAAAAATAGCATGTTCTATTCGGAGTAAAAATGACTTTTTGTGCCTCGAAGCTAGAAGTCATTTTTACTCCTAATAAGACAATATACTACTAGCATTACTATATAGTATTTTCCTTTTGCAAAGACATTCTAGGATCTAGTATACATACTACATAGTATTTTCCTTTTCCAAAGACATTCCGGGTACACACTGTATACTGTTTTGTGTAATTTAGTTACAAATGTATAATTTTCAGATTTTTCCCTATACTTATTGACATATAATACTTATTGACATATAATACTTATATATATACTTATAGACTTATAAGACGGTACTACCTGCCAAATTTCACAGTCTAGGTGAACGGAAAATACCCTATAATTTTGATTTCCTTAAGTGTCGAAATATACGTTTTTTTTTGCGGCATTGTAAATGATTTTTTTAAACTGAACGCAAGATTTTTTTTTTAATTGAAAATTGAGAGAGAGATTCTCTTAATATTGTAATTAAGACAATCTCATATCGCCACTCATTCTTTAATCCTTGTAATCTTTTAAATCTCTTCAAAAGTTATTTATTAATATTTTAATATCATAATCCTTTAAACGATACACATATTTCAAAATATCGTCTAATAATAGATAATTAAAGCCTCTAAAGTAATAAAATAATCGTAAAAACTAAGTACAGATTAATTATATTTACATATTTTATTGAAGCTTTAATGGTTCAATCAGAAATATTAAAAAAATTAAAGGATTTTTTAAAAAAGATTTTGTATTATAAATTAAATGAAAAATTACCTGCTACAAGGGCGTAAGCTATTCCTTGAGGTATCTCAGTCAAACTCACGGTAAATCCTGCCAAGGCATCCTGCAAAAACAGTGAGAAATCGTACTTCGGTAGCCATTGAATCACTGGTAACTTCCTCTTCACTATATCCATGCTGACCGAGTTTGACAAGCACAAAGATGTACCGGCATCTAAAATCACAAAGACGGCATTTTATATTTAAAAATATTCCTAAATCTTATCTGGAATTAATATCTTATCTTCCTTACAGATGCATAGAAGTACTACACAGTTATCTGCTTCGCTTACCGTTTTTTATTTCTTTTATTTGTATTAACTGTTCCATTAGAATTTAAAAAATAAATGTTCTGTGCTAGAAAAAATCGACAAATATTGCGAATACCGGAAATAAAATGAATTGTAAATAAAAATTTGCCGATGTTTGAAAATTCATTACTACGAGGTCTTCTTACAAGGGTAATTAATGTAAAATAATCACAAATCATGTGTAGCTTACTAAATATAAATTGCAGTGATTTAATTACTCTAAATATTGCGGTAGACAAGATCAAAAAAGGTCAACAGATAAAATATTTTTCATTCAAAATTTGTTGTGATAATACAATAAAAAAAGAATTAAAAATTCATGTTTTCTTATTTATTTATTCACCTTTAATTGCAACATACTCGTAACCATATAAAGTTGAGTGTCCGTAAAATTCCTCATAGACTGATATAGAATACTCTCAATAAATTCAATTATTATTGTTTGAAGTAATGATATTTTTTATTGGAATTAATTTTATTCCCACTCAATTTTTAAATCAGATCTATGCAACCAGGAATACAGGGACAGGGACTTGCGTTTGACATTTCTGTCACGTTTTCTAACCTCAAAAAATTTATTATATAAATTTTTCATATTTTTGTCTAGTAATAGAAGGTTTTTTTAGTTAAAAAATGCAGGGAATTAACAGAATATTCACCCGAACCAGTTTAAGACAGTGGAGGAGTCTTCATAAAGGGTAAATACAGAAATTTTCCAATTAAAACATGTCCAAAAAATACCGTATATTTTTTAGAGCTCTTAACTTCCAGTCAACTGAAACCGTATCAGCACCCATAGAGAACCTTACTATACCTCCCCCCAGTGGTGTAGACACACCAGCTTCACCAAAAATCGAAAAACTAGTCACCGAAATATCACAACTCAACCTAATTGAAGTTTCCGAGCTCAGTACTTTACTCAAAAAAAGACTCAATCTCCCCGACGCTCCTGCCTTTCCTGTAGGAGGTTTTATAGCTGCCGGAGCTCCCAAAGAGGAAGAGGAGGAAGAAGCGCCACAGAAAGTCAAGACAGTTTTCACGGTGAAGCTTTTGAAGTTCGACGAAAAACAAAAAGTGGCTTTGATCAAGGAAATTAAGAATTTGATGGAAGGTATGAATTTAGTACAGGCCAAAAAGTTCGTAGAGAGTGCCCCCGCGATAGTTAAAGAGGAAGTTCCAAAAGAAGAGGCGGACAAATTGAAGGAAGCTATAGAGAAAGTGGGAGGTACAGCAGAAATAGTTTAAATTAATTTTGGATGGTTTTTAAGTTAAGTATCGTAGCTCTAATTGTATTTTTTAACGAAATAAATGTTTTAAAATAATCTACTTACTGGTAGTTTGATTTGTTCGAAGATTAAAAGGTCTAGAGCTTGATGCAATGCTTGGATTTAAAGAGTTTTGTGTGCTAGAATTGATAACCACAATTTCGTCCATGTTTTTAAACAAATTGCAACAAATTTATGACTTTTTTTCGAGTTAACATAACAAAAGCAGGACAATAAACTACGAGTTATTATGTTTTAAAGATAATGTTAAGAATACGTAATTATTTAACCTAAAAATCAATTAAGTGAAATGGCGAATGCGCTAGGATATAACAATAATTTAATTTTTTCGAAATTTTACCAAAATTAAATTAAAGTGAAAGTTCCAGAAAAGAAAAAGTCCTGTTTTTGGCAGGAATATATTAAGGAATGTAAAATATTTCAAGGATGTACGAAAAATTTTATAATAATTAAATATATGGATAATATTTCTTATAAAATGTTTAAATTATTATAATTTATGAATAAGACTGAGAAAAATAATTCAAATTGTGACGCCTATGAGGAAATTGAATTTAAATCTGCCTTTAATATCTCAAGGTTCTCAAGTTCTTCTAATATCAACATCTTCCGTGCTTTTATTTTACACACACTTGGTGTTACCATTTTTCGATGCAGGAAAATGAATTTTTAAACAGTTTTTTATAAAAACATTTCTACATTATGTTCATACATTCAAAAAGTTAATTCAGAGCACTTTTTAAAAATATAGAGAGTTCTACAGGGTGTCCCCAAAAAAGTTACATATCAAAGTTGTGTTTTTTGTAATAGAACACCCTATATATTAATTGATTTTCGAATTCTGGGAGAAAAATAAAGGTGAGTTTTATTTTATGACATATTTAACATTTTCTAGAAATAAAGAACAATTTTTAAATTACAAAAACAGCTACCTAAATTGGAATTTACCCGGTATAGCCTAATATGTAGTTAAATTAACTATTGTACTTTAAATCAAATTAAAACTTGATCCAAAAATTATACACAGTCAGGCAAAATTAATATTGAACACTAGTCACTTTTAAAAGCAAGTTACTCCTTTATTTTAAACGGAACACCCAGTATATTATTCCGATATTCATTGGAGAATTCATGTCTCTCCAAAATACTATTAAGGTTGCCTACACCCCAAATAAAGCTCTTCCTAGATATTTTTATTTATATGATTTAATCTGAGTGCGTCGAAGTCAGTGGTGCACCGTTTTTGCTCCAAAACTATTCATTATAAAACCCACATAGACGGCACTAGTTGAAATAAATAAATATTTTTGTACATCAAAAAGAAACGTGTATGAAGTTTAATCAAGATACAATTTTATATTGGAATTAAAATAAATATTGCCTACGCCTATGATCAATTTTGTTTTCATTTGGCGACCTACATGACGTTATGGATAAGCAAGAAAGTGAAATTTCAGGTAGGTGTTGCTATTGCCAGTTTTGCGATGCATATTTATTCAAGTTAAATAGCTGTTTTTTTTCTATTAGTTTTACGTTATGTGTTTGTCAGAGATTACGATAGATTTTCTATGATTTTTTTGTAATTTTTACACGTCCGATTGAGTTGTTTATTGGAGAAATCCGTGTTTGGGTTTTCGAAATCTATAACAGTCTTGTTTGATACGTTTTTTAAACCAGAGTTTGATTTTTTTTAGCCTTTTATTAGCATCGAATTATTTATTTGTAATGGTGATGATAAAGCAAAGCCAGATTTTCCATTAACATACAAACTGGAAAAATTTTTCTCACATTTATGTCAGCATGAGAAAAAACAATATGGCGATATTATTATATAACTTGGTAATATTTGAGGGGTAGTTTCATCTCGTTCGAATTTGACTTTTGAAAAATCCGTTTGTCAAAAATAAGCTTTTTACGTCAAGCAGTTTAAGCAGAATCTTGGTTAATCAATTACCCAACTTTTTGGAACACCCTGTATGATTTTTGAAAAAATTTCAAAATATGTAAAAAAAAACAAAATAAATTATGCGTGTCCAAGCGTTTTCCCGAAAGACTAACCGTTTTTAAATAACAAATATTGTAATATTTGAGGGGCGTTTTCACCCTCTTGGAATTTGAGATTCGAGAAACCCCTCCTTATCGAACCTCTACACCCCACAGTCAATCCGTTTGCCAAAAATCAGCTTTAAACAAGCAGTTTAAGCAGAATCGTGATTATACTCAATGGTCATATTTTATGAAACACCCTGTATAAATTTTTAAAAAATCTTAAAATATGTAAAACAACAAAATAAAATATACGTGTTTAAGAGTTTTTCCGAAAAACTCACCGGTTTTTGAATAAAAAATATTCTAATATTTGAGGGGTGGTTTCACCCCCTTAGAATTCGAGTTTCGAAAAATCCCTGTATACATAAAAAATCTTAAAATATGTAAAAAAAAACAAAATAAAATATACGTGTTTAAGCGTTTTTTCGGAAACTTGACCGTTTTTTTAAATCAAAAATAATGTAATAGTTGAGGGGTGGTTTCACCCCCTTGGAACTGGAATTTCGAAAAATCCCTGCTTATCGAACCTCTACACCCTAGAATGAACCTGTATGCCAAAATTGAGCTTCTTACGTTGAGTGGTTTGAGCAGGACCGTGATTAATCAGTGAGTCAGTCACTTAAGGATTTTATATATCAGTATAGATTTTTCAAAAGGATAAAAACATGTACCGTTTTATATAGTTTTAAACTAAATATGCGGAACTATCGTTGTCTCTCCCGGACTCTCCCTCAAAACTATTAACATTTTAGCTCAAACTAAGACATATTCTTATAGAAATTAGAATTCTGCGCACAACGAGTATAGTTTGGATTCTTTTAGACTTTTATTATTTTTGAAAATAATAATAAAAGTGAAACTTTACCAAATTTGTACCTCTCTTCTTATTTTGGGACACCCTATACCCTAGTACGATCTATTGATGATCCAATCGATCTAGTTCGTGATCTTCATGAAAATGTTAAGGTTCTTCGAGCCTTCTTCTGCTTCAAAAACTAGGTTGGTATTTCACTCTTACCATTTTTTTTGTTCTTCTTCTATGGCTCTTACGTGCTCTCAAACCCATATTGTAGACCATACCAATGACGTAGATGGGCAATTTGGGTGTCTATATGACATTGAAAGTACCTGAATCGTGTTAGACGAGAACTTTAACAGTTTCGATTTATAATATACGTGCGATATAATAAAATCATGTCAATAACGAAGCGATATTAATGATATTTAGACAATTTATAGTTGTTATAGTACTACTTGCCAAAAACTAGGTTAAGGTTTCGGGGTGGAATTTTAGTTGTACACTTTGTACAAAGTTCCTGTTTAAGAAACCAAGGTACAGGGTGTTCTATTTTCGTGTGTTTTGTGGGGTTTCTCGTTTATGAGTAGAGATACAAAGATGCCGTTTTGACATCATTGTGCTATTTTTTTTTGATGAAACTAAAAATACAGACAGACTTGTTATAGCCCGTTATTAGAGTACGTTAGAAAGCTCCTAACAAAGCAAATAAAATAAAAATATAATATACAAGGTATCCTATTTTAAAGAAATAAGTTTGTGTTATATTTTAAGAGTGACTCTGCTTCTACGTGAAAAACTCTGTGAGACTCAATTTTCACCTTTTCAATAAGTTATAAGGTAACTGAGATACAAAGTGTACACTCTGTACATCATACAATTTTAATTTGTTTACATAAAACATAGTAATAAAATTGTTTAATATCAATAGCAAATTTTCTTGGGACTGTGTTAAATTATTTTGTGGAGAATTATGGAAAATTGAGCATTAAAAAATAAAAATCGTGAACAACGTCACATAATTATTAAAGATTATTTATTATTGTTTATTGATTGTTGTATCTGATTAATTTTTCTCGGTATCGTCTACAGGATCTTGCATATTTGTTGGTGTTTTAGGAATCCATTTATGATTAAGACATTAAAATTGTAAATCTGAATGAAATTACTATTGTTTGTTGTGGATAACTGACTAGGAATTATGAAATATGATGAGAATTTAGATAAACTACCGTATGATCGAATAAAAACGGCGTCAGCGATGGCTATGAATGTCATCGATCGTCATTTCGCAGCCAACTGGACGCCGTTTCTTTTTCGATCATACGGTATTTTATCAAGTTAGTTTTTTTACTTTTTTTTAAAGCATCAGTTATTTTTTTCGTAAAAATTATTTTTATTTTTAGACCTTTTCTTGTGATTTTTTTAGCAAACTCTATATAAATACAGGGTGTCCCAGAAATAAGTGCAAGTATTTTAAGGAGTGGTAGATCTCGATAAAAGAAACATATTTTCTCTTTATCGTTTTTCAAATAAGTCCAAAATAACGGAGTTATTTTGGACTTATAACTTGGACTTGGACTTATGGACTTGGAAATTTCCAAAAAAAAAGATTTTTTGCTAAAATTTTGAGAACCACTGGATCTTTTCTGGATTTTCTTTCTTGTAAATTTAATCTAATACCTATGTTGCCATATTATCAAGAAATTATGTTTTTTAACTAAAAAAATTTCAAAAATTTTTTTTAAAAAATTTCGAATTTTCAATTTTTTTTCTCGCGAAAAATACCTCGTAGGCGTGTTTCTGGGGTTGAAATATACTACCAGTTAAAATACTTGCACTTATTTCTGGGACACCCTGTATATCAATTTTAATTTATAAACTCAGTTTTTTTATAAACTTTAGTATTCGGCTTACTATACAGGGTTAATCAAAGAGCCTTTTTTTCCTTTGTTCTATTTATTTAGATAATCTTTAAGTTCCAATTTTTAATGCCAAAGTAATTGTTGCTCTTTTTTGTACTATCCTTGTACTATCGATGGATTTTCCTTAAAGGAAATTATACCTAATATAGATACTTCTAATGCATTCTACTAACAAAAAAAACCAAAACAATTATCATAATCATAAGCCACAAATATGTATGATATGGGATTTTCCCCTACTGGTACTACCTCTAAGACGCGCTATCTCGATCAAAACCATAAAAAATTCTCAGTAATGTCGCATCCTCACGTTCCAGAGCTTATATCAATTATACATGTAGTACCATCATCATTTTTAGTGGTACGACCGCAGATCCATCGATATAACCCAACAGTTGTCAACGTTTCGGCAGAAAAACTTTCTCCACCATCGGTGTAGACCACGTCTGCACCCGGTCGCGGCTATAGCACCACAGCGAGGTACTATAATTTGTGGTAGTACCGCATTGTAAACGCGTCCGCTTTCAGAGATCTTCGGTACTTCGCGGGTCTTCGTTGAAAGTGAAACTCGTCGACAGTACCACTTCCCAAAGTACCTTTAATTATTTTTTTCCGAAATCGAGGAATTTCTATTTTTTTCGAAAATTACGTGAAAAAAAATCGGGTAGTACTCTTTTCGAGTACTTACTATTTTAAAGGGTTTTACGAATTTTTCGTGTTTTTTTTTGATTATTTAGAATAGAAAAATTGGATTTTTTTGTGGTGATTTAGGCAGGAAAGGACTTGAGTGAAGTCCTGAGAAACTATGGGTACTTCTAGAGTTTTAAGGTAAGATATAATAATTTATTAATTGAATTTTATAAAAAAGCATATTTTTTTGTTTATTAGAAATAGTTTTTAATTTTTATTTATGTATGAATTTGGGTTAAATTACAAGTTCTTTTGTTTCTTTTTTGACATAATTATGATTGAAATGCCGGATTTTATTTAATCAATCACTTAAAAAATAATAATAATTAAAATAAATGATTAATATTGATAATAATGTAACTAAAAATAGCTATGCAACGTGTTCATCTGCAGCCATATGACTTCAAGGTAACTCAATACATTTCTTGGAGTCTGTAATAATTATTGAATAATATAATCTGTGATTTAACTAAATACATACCATTAACATAAAATGTTATTAAATAGCGTAATAAATCCACTCGATCTCGTAGAACTACGTAATGAGAGTACTACATTCAATAAATTAACAGAACTGATATAATGAACATGTATTTTGAATCTAAGCAATGATAGTATATTTTTAATTTCTTTTTTCCATAGCAACTTCTAAACACGTTTTTCAATTGCTTCCATTTTTGAAAATTTTTGTATTCCTTTTCATAAGTTATTCGGGATTTAAATGGAAGTAGTTAGGATATGGCGTTTGTCGCCTCAGCCTGAATATCTGTTGGTAATTTACTTATTTCGTTTTGAGCCATATCTGGCCCCAATTCAATCAGCAATCGACACGAAAGAGAATTAAAAAATATTGAAAAATATATTAATCATTTAAATGAATCTTTTAATTTATTATCCATTAACCGTTTTTACGTAATGACATTCTTAACTACAACGAAGTAATTGCATTTTAACCATCCCATTCTTCTTCAATACAAAGTTAAGTAATCACAGTCATTGAGAATGCAAAGAAAGTAAGAATTATTATGCAGTTAGAAGTGAAATAAGCTCTGTTACGGTTTGCTGACCGCCATTCATTATTTTCTTTTTCTATATGCTGACTGGTTTGATCTTATTATCATAAATAAATTCTGAATTTTTTTAAAATAAAGAAAGTAAAATAAAATGTTTAGTCATATCTATAATGATATGTTCTAGTTGCAAAACGAGGAAAGAATATTTAACTGCTATTATACAGGATGAATCTTAAATAAGTGCAAATATTTTCAGGGCTGGTAGATCTCGATAAAAGAAACATATTTTCCCTTTACCGTTGTTTCAAATAACTCCAAAATAAACGAGCTATTTCTCGCTCTATTTGAAAATTAAAAAAAAAATATTTTTTTTGCTTAAATTTTGAGAGCCACTGAATCTTTTCCCGGTTTTCTTTAAACTAAAACTTTAAAAAAATCCAAAAAAAAAATTCAAAAATTTTAAGTTTTTATTTTTTTTTGTGAAAAAACCTATGGGGTCAAAATATACTACCCCTAATAATATATTCACTTATTTAAGACTCACCCTGTATAGTTAGATTGGAGCAATTTTATACAAATTTTTCTGTTAGTAATTTTTTCTAATAAACAAGCTTTATTGTGTGATGTTAAAGATGTAAGACACGTGGCTATTATCTATAAAAATTCTAAAAACGAATTAGAAACAGCTCAGAAACCGTTTTACAACTTTCGTAACAATATACTATAAAAATGTTGCAATAATTCGACAATTTTAGGTAAATTGCTTAACTTAGCGTGACCAGAATAATACTATTAAAAATAAAAATATAAAAAATTAGACCAAATTTTACTAATCGCAACAATTTTATTCAATTCAACTAAACGTAAGAAAATGTCGTTAAAGACCGTGGCTATAGCTGTTTCTGTAAGAGAATTCGTCCTTGCAAAATAGGTTATGTTTTCCTATTGTTAACAAACGGTTTCCTAAGTTGTTTTATGTCTATATGTTATGTAAACGATGACACCCTGTGAATTTTCTATTGATTTTATTGAGTTTCTAATGTCAAAACACACGTCTTTATTGTTTTTTTAGTTACCTGATTACAAATTCTTGGATAACTCTTTTTTTAATTTCTTTTCTCTTTGTAATTATTGGGCCCATTGTTGTTTATTGTTTGTTATACTTATAATGTCCGTTTTTAATTGTCCAGGTTTCGCATGCATAGGTCATGACAGAAGCGTTGATCAAATGTCTTCTTCTTTAGATAAAGTAGCATTCTAGATTCGTATGAAAAAAAGGTAATACTATTAAAATATAAATCAACATAATGATTTTTTTATCTTTTACAAATGAAACATTATTTGGTCCTGTACTAAACATTTTTTACATTTGTAATTCGACAATTTCAACACAAAGCTGTGTCTTAGTTGTCCCCAATTTTTTTTTTTCATATGTGTACAAATATCTTAAACACACTCTGTATAATTTGCTAATACATATAAACTATTGTAATTATTTAGACTTAATAAGTATATTTTAATAATAATAATGCTACTTGTGATTGCATAAAAAATAAATACAATATCTCGTATAATAAATTATTCAAATAAAATCACTTATTTTTGAAAGAGGTTTATTGCCTCATTGCCTGTTGGTGTCTCTCATATAAATCCTACTTTAACATGACTATTTTAGTTATACGAGAATATAATGACATTAACCAAATTTGGCACAAAAATACTGTGGCACCCGAGAATCTGGCCATTAGTTTTTGGTGTGGGGGTGGGGGGTTGTTAAGGGGGTATGGGAGGGGGTTAAACATTTTAAAAAATCGTAACTCCAAAATTACAGTAGCTAGCGAAACGCGGTTTTCAAATTAAGATTAGGAATAATATTTGCAACAAAATCCATACCTATATAAAAGCTCAAAGGTTTTTTTTGTTACATCCGTCCCGCCGAAACTGCTTTACCAATCTTGATGATTCTTTTTTTAAATGAAAGGTATATATGTCTAGATTTGTTATGAAGTATTTTTAAATTGTTGAATGGCTATTTCTTTGTGTAAATCGACTAAATATTAAAACATACCTGAAAAACACCTACACACAATACCTCCAGAAATAAATTATTTGTCATTGTCAGTGGTTTGTCAGATAGATTATATATCAAGTTTTTAGATATTTTAGGGGTCAGTTCATACAGCCAGCTTTAGATACATAAATATTAGAACAAAGGTTCGTTTAAACGACATTAGTGAATTAGTTACACAAAGCGAGTTTAGGAAATTCATCCTCTTAGAGAGTAAAATTATGTCGGAACGATTTGTTGTATGAAAATTCCTTACTATGTGGTCTAGAAGAATGAAATCGTACAAAAAGAATTAGAAGAGATTTTTGAAATTCATCAACCAAATGGGTAAAGTTAGTAAAAATTTATATAAAACTTGGTAACCTCTGGATTATACACATAAAAATTGGCACAAAGGATCATTTAAAAGACATGAGTTAATTATTTGGATAAAGCGATTTTATGAAATTTATAATCTTGGGGAGTAGAATAGGAAATGAAAGTTTTGCTATAACATCTAGCAGTATAACATTTTATACAAGGGTTTATTTAGTGACACATCAATAATATAAACGAAATATTTCTTTTTCAATTATCGTTCAAGGAATAAAAAATAACTAGTATGGGCGGCTATACGTGCCTCCCGGCGCCAATTTTTTTTTGTAATTTTTATGATTTTGTATCGTCTAATTAAAATAAAACCACTATAAAATTATTTTTGAATCTTGGAATATCAGATGTATATTTTTTTATGGGGAATAATGAATTTATGGTTAGAAAATAATGGTTTTAACGTCTTATTAATTATTTTATAGTATTTTTTTATTAGAAAATTGATTCTTTATTATAACTCGTCGTTTTCACAGACTTAATTCATGTTTTTACAACAATTAATAAAATCCCCGCAATAAAAATGGTCGGGATTAAACAATTACGTGCATGGCTTCATAATTAGACATAATTATCCACCAGTCCATTACCAAAATAGCTATAATTTGACATTTAAGCTGGCTGCAACCAATTATTTGCCGGATTATACCATTTGGTTGGGTCTATTCAAATCGTGTAAGAAAAAACACGCTATTTTTAACACAAATTGTTTCTAAATAATTGCATGGGTGTGTGAGAATGGTGTTTATAAACAATCGACATAAAAAAATGTAGATTGGCTATTTTATATATGGTTTTAGTGCATTTAAAACTGTTACAGGGTAAAATAATAATTATAGACACAAAAATTAGGTTAATTCTGACTCAAAAATTGTAGTTCAGCTGCAAATTTGTAATATTGTCTTATTGATATATTCGATAAAATCAAGTAATATACTACCGTACGTCAAAGACTTTTTTCAACGTTTCTCAGATTATTTTGGCAACAACGGCATGAAATTTGAGCTTTTAAAGGGTTTGAATATAAATAAATCATAATTTATATACCCCAATCTATCAAATTCAAAATACGTTTATTTTTCTTCATAATAAATGATGATACTTAACAATACCTTAACCCAATGACCCCTAAATATGTAGGCGTATAGCGAAAAAAACTGAAGTGTCTGAATACGTACAAATGAATTAAAAAACTTTCTACATATACATGTCCAACATATAGTGGAGTGAGATCATATCTCATTTGGCACACAATTTTTCATACATATATAGCAATAAATAATACAGCTGAGGCTTTAGTGATATTTTAACAGTATAATTTTTTGTATCCTTTGTAAAATTTAATATTCTGATTTTAAAATGATCACATGGTATTTTGTAGATGAGATTTTTTGTTTGTTGTTCAAATTAAAATGGATCTAAGTGTATTTGGTGTTTTGAAGAATGTTCCTATTTTATATTGTTTTCCAATTCTTTTTATTTTTTTTCTGAAACGCCTCGTTTGTATGAAATTGTAAGTTGTATTTGTTGTCTATTGTCTTCATAGTATGTATTCTGGCTTTTCAAGAAATAAACCCGTCAAAATACAGAATACATTATTAACTTGTAACTTATAAAAAATATCTATTGTGTTATTCAAAGAGGATTTTGATGTGATGTCTCAATCGCCGAAAAACAATAATGAATTA